TGAAAGCGTCTTAACCTTTGTTTTAACACTACATTAGATGACAACCTAGTTGGACTGTTGTTTTGAACAGGACCAGGATTTAATTCAACATCTCCTGACAACATTAGAGTCCTTTGAGATATGTGATATTGTTCATTGGCAATATTGCCTGCTATGTTTTGACTGTTTAACATATTACACAGTGATTGTTTTGCCATATATATGTTTTTGTGAACTGTTTTACTTAACAGATGAGTATAAGTTTCCATGTTGATAGGTGACAACAATGTAAGCGATGATGTAAAGCCTTAAACGGTCGGTTAGAGAATTGAGAAGTTGAGAATTTTTCAGCAATCCAAGGTATTTTAAAGCCAAAAATGAAAATCCAAAATGGCGAACACAATAAACACCTGATAACACGAGGCCTAACAATGCCCGTTCGCAGGTGCGGACACGATGTAAGCTAATCGCTGATTGGCTTATATTGGACTAATTATACACTGGCTCAAAAAGAACTGCTCAAATGTTGCTATTATCCTATGTAACAGGAATCGTAACAATCAATTTTTTATTGTACACTAGCGGTCAAAAAGAACTGTTTAGATACAAATTCATAAAAAAGAAGCGAATATAGGAGAGCTAGAGCTTCATAGGCATTTTGAATAATTCTCTTATTCCAAGCAGTATTTCAATAATGTAATGCAACCTGCCATACTTCCAAGATATTGTCAAACAATGGTTTCAGGAAGAGGGAGTTACAGAAATGGATTGGCCTGCACAGTCAAAAGACCTTAACCCTATTGAAAATCTGTGGGACAATGTCAAGGGGATAGTGCTAGAAAGGAATTCATTCATAAAGCGTCCATGATTTATACGTTGCTGTAAAGACTGTCCATAGGATGAATTTCTTTTGACCGTTAAGATTATCACCTTAACAGAAAGTATGCCACGCCGGTGTAAGGCCGTTATCAATTATAAGGCCAAAAGATGGTCAACAAAATATTAATATTCCATATAGCTTAGTATGTAATCTAGTCTATATTATTTACTCGCATATATTGTTAGAGGGACAGTAACGTTCATTTGAGAGCGTTTTAACTTGTTTTAAGCATTTCTTTTTGACCGCCAGTGTATAAGCCCGTCGGTGAATGGCTATTGCTAACACACGGTACGGTACGGTACGCGCATGATAGCAATATATCTGCTTCGCAGATACAAAAAGCAATAAAAGTTGACATTTTCTCGTTTTTTCCAGAAAAGAATTTGAGCCTTTGGTTATGTGTTTCTTTCGAAATAATAGGCGTAAAATATCCGAAATATTTGACAGGATAAACATGAATTTATTATTGTATTTGCAGAGTTTTACCATGCCAGCGGGAGCCGTAGTCAAATCTAAAGCTCTCTATTCTGTGGCGTTAGGAAGCAACGTGATAAAAACTGTTAATCGCTGTGATTGTGAAACACTGTAAGAGCTGAACTTATATATAGTTTAATTTAATTCAACGTTTTCAATGGAATCTCGCCATTGTTTGTCATAATCTGAACTTCTTGCATCCAATATTTTGTAATACAAAACACCGATTAATGCAACATAAATGATTCGTAAATTCAAAATGTATTATTTTTTCGAATTAAAGATTTTTGGGAATTACATATAGAACAAAAGCCTTTGACAATTAAAGGTGACAAGAAATAAGCGAGTTTAAATTGATCGCTAAAAAACGGCTAATGAACAAAATAAAGTTCAGCCTTGAAGCAAGTGCGTCCATGGTTGTCACTCTCGGTATAACCGTGAGTTGCGATGTTGCTACTCTGAGTCCCCAACCGGGTATGCTGAAAAATGCCGTAACGATAATCGTGTAATTCAGTTTGTACTGCGATACGATTTTAATAAACTAATAATAATAATAATAATAATAAAGATCTTCACCATACCAGACTCGCATTTGCTGCCCTCGATAAATGAACCTGGTGCAAACATCTGAAAAGACCAGCTGAGGTGAATTCTCGAAATAGCCAGGCAGGTGATACCAACCACCGTGATGATGAATCTTGGTTAATAGACGAGAAGGATACATAACCGCGTTGCGAACATCTGTGACGTACATATCGGTGCGGAAATGACTATTACATCCCCAATTTGTGCTTGCAGCTCTATAGCATCCGACTTTTCCACTGATGTGAGTAAGCCTAAATGCGCTCACAAAACCAGGACGGCCATTGTATGTCAGACTTGCAAAACTGTTACCTCTTGCCCCAGCACATTCCCTTCCAATAACTCTCCACTGGCCTATAAAGAAAACAACGAAGGAGTTGAAAGATAATTCTAAGACGACAAATAGACCAATGTTCAGTGGCGTGAATGACCTCATTGACCTGGTAAAATTTAGTCTCGCTTAATTAGGCAGACTAGAGTTGAGTGTTCATTATAATCATTGGCATGGTATTGTAATAATGCAAAGACTCAGGTGTTTATATTAAATGCATATTGTGATGTTGCTACTCTGAGTCCCCAACCGGGTATGCTGAAAAATTAGCTTGACCGCGGTGGGAATCGAACCCGCAATGAATGCTCTTCCACTGAGCTACTAAGTCAAGACGGTTCGAGTAATTGATATTTCAGAACTCAGTCTAGTCCCTTCTATATCTGTGCGCGTTAAAGCTATAGTTATAATGCAGAGACCCAGATGTATATATGAAATATATATTGTGATGTTGCTATTCTGAATCCCCAACCAGGTAAGCTGATTTTGAATTTTGCTGCCATTGTCATGATAGCAAAATTCAAAAGGGTAGAAAAAGATATTTTAAACGCCGTAGAGCCTTCAATTCTATATACAACTTTTTATACAATGACCTTTCCCTCTTCTTCTTTCACAACGAGAACCTATGTAACCAGCAGGGCAGTTACATTGATAAGATGTACCAACATTTCTCCAAGTACCACCATTTAAACATGGAGCGGCGGCACAGGCACTCCCTGGATAGAGAAATAGAAGACATAAAAAATTGAGTTAAATGGTTAATATCGATAATAAAAACCTAAATTTCGTTTTAGTTCGACACGTTAATTCTTGCCATTACTTCGCGATTCACGAATGCATGGTTTGAAAATATCAATATTCGACGTCATCACATGAACTTACTACAATGATGGAATTGTGGAAGATGTTTCCAGTTGATGTTGACTCCTGCAAAACCACAAGTGGTGGCGTAGGCAGCATACGCTTCACACGCGCACGCTGAGGGATGCTCCTTGCAACCACAGACATCATATTCGCAATCCTGGAGGAAACCTGAGTGAACGTTAACTTTGTGATGGCATTTCGAGAAGGGAAAACGTCTCAGTAATTCACATTTCTTCCTCGCCTCTCCGGCTATTTGATGGCCAGCTGCCTTACAAGGATTTATTGGTGGAGGCGCGTTCGGGCATGATCTATCAACACTCCAGGAGTTAGCAAAATCTTGATCATTTGTGGTGAGACTATTGTCAGGCTTGCGAAGTTCATTTTTGTTGTCAATATTACTCCCACAAATCCCGCGTGTTTTCCCTTTATATTTGTGCTTCGCAACTAGGATGTAAACGTTGTATACGCAATCGTACTCCACTGTCAAGCCATTAGAGAGCTTAAGCAAGCGGCGTTTTTGACAACACGAACGTCACGTCAGCCGTAAAAAGACTGGATCGAGTACGGCGTTTTTGTTGCAAATCTATTCATTAAGCAGTATCGTAAATAAACAAAAAACCTCATCAAAAACATATCACGCAAGCCATGTAGTTACTTTTGTTTTTATGAAGCTTTTCGTTCATTTTTCATCGTAATGACTTCGTTAAAACAAACTCGGGACTTGCTACTATTTAGTTTCTACAAGAAACAAATCACAGCCGAGCAGCTTCTCGTCCTGCTAGAAGAAAACACTTCGCGAAATCCTGAGTTCAACTACCGTCAATACGAAAGGTTTGATCTCGCAACGATTCCTGAACCGGAATGTCGATCAGACTTTAGATTTGACAAGGACGATATTCCCGTGTTGGCAGATGTTCTGGGTTTACCCGATTATTTCCAGTGCTACCAAAGAACAAAGGCAAGAAAACTCGAGGGGCTTTGCATACTTTTACGTCGACTGGCTTTCCCCTGTCGGTACGCTGATATGATTGCGATGTTTGGTAGGCCAGTCGCTGAACTAAGCATGATAACAAACGAGGTTATAGATTTTATCTACGAGCATCACGCACACCGAATCACTGCATGGAATGAACGACTTTTAAGCCCTGAGAATCTGCAAATTTACGCTGACAAAATCCACACGAAAGGTGCAGCTTTGACGAATTGTTTCGGGTTTGTCGACGGCACGGTTCGACCTCTATGCAGACCAGTACAGCACCAACGTTGTGTATACAATGGCCACAAACGAACACATTCCATTAAATTTCAGTCAGTTACGTTGCCTAATGGCATAATTGCAAATATGTTTGGTCCAATTGGTATGTATATCATTATTTTTTTATATTTTACATCCAATTATTGCATGAGTATAATAATAGTTTGAAGGCATCTCTGACTCTGACAAGAAGGGAATCCTATGTAACATTTAATTATTTTGATTTTTTATAACAGAGGGCAGAAGACATGATGCCGGAATGTTGGCTGACTCAAACCTATTGAACTACTTGGAACAGCATGCCTACTCACCTGATGGAGAGCCGATGTGTATCTATGGGGACCCCGCCTACCCCCTGCGGGTCAACCTACAGGCACCATTCAGAAATGTTTTGATGACCCCAGCCATGCAAGAGTTCAACAGGTCAATGAGTGCTGTTCGTGTGACAGTGGAGTGGGCATTTGGTGAGGTTATAAGATCTTTCAGGTGTTTTGATTTTAAAAGTAATTTAAAGCTTGGTCTAAGCTGTGTTGGAAAGATGTACTTGGTTTCTGCTGTTATTCAAAATGCCTTGTCATGTCTTTATGGAAACCAAACCTCAACGTTTTTTGACTTAGACACACCATCAATTGAAGAATACTTTTCTTGATTCTAATTTTGCATATATTGAATGAAATTGTTCATTACAAATAATCAACATGTGAAATATAGACTACAACGTGATCACAACATTAACTTGACTTTGTATGATGTGTTTCACTTTAAATTATGATAAATTGTGAGTTTTTGAACATAAGCTAATAATATGTAAAGTGTAAGTTGTTGTTGTGACCATAAGAACTGCTGCCTAAAAGCATAATTTTGTTTTATGTTTTAACATGTTAGGTAAACATAATGTGATCTTATACACATTTCCTTCACGTTTTAATCCATAGTAATTAAGTTATATTCATTACTCCCAAAACCAAAAATGAGAGAAGAAATAATTTGTTCTCCAGGCATGATGAAAATCTTTTTTCAATTATGCAGACTTGAATTTGAATGCAAAAGATTTCATTTTTATGGTTTTGAAAATTTGACTTTTTGTGAAAATGGGTATAAGACCACCTAAAACCATAAACCTCTGATTACATAAAAAAGGTAATAGTATTCAGTATTGAAATGTGCAATTAAAATCAGAATGTTATGATGACTTCTTCTCAAGAATTGACAGCATTAAATTGTTTTGCTGCATAAACATCATTTGGAACTGGGCCATTTGCTGTTGCTGTTGAGCCATTTGCTGAGCCATCATCTCTTTAAATTCGTTGTGCTTCTCCTGCTCCCTGTTCTGTTTCTCCTTTTCCAATTCCAGTTCCCTCTCCCTTATTTTCATTTCATTTTCTGACTGTTCCCGTATGAACTGTAATGTATCAGAGCCAGATCTTCTACGCCTTCTCTTCTTCTCTTCAATTTCTCCCTCATCAATTTTTCTCTTTTTGGTCTCTCCAAACTTTTCCATTGCTTTCTTTCGAATGTCCACAGCATTTTTCTGATCTTCCTCAACTTTTTTTTTCTGTACTTCACCTAAAAATAAAATGACAGTTGTTTATGACTTTTCTCAAGCCTACCCTCAACTTTAGCAGCTGGTTGCTCAAACAAAAACAGTGGTTAAAAATTAACTTAGGGTTAATGTTAATCAAGCTATGAAGCTACAAATTTCCCATTATAATTATAAATGGATACGATGCTTAAAAACTTGACGTGCATGGTATTAAAATACACATGTATACCAATGTAACCATTGTACTTTAAGAACTATGAATATTTTCCTACTTTGTGATGCTCTCAACTCTTCGCTCGCCTCCTCTTTTTCCAAAGTTTCCTCGATCAAACTATCCAACTCCGTTAATTGTGGTGATATCCCAGTAGCCTTCATCTCGTATGCAATTCTCTTCTTGTGTTTTTCGCACAATAGAGTGCAACGATCTTGAACGGAACGCTTTGAGAGTGTTTTCTTAAAAGAAGGGTCTTCCAATTGAACCAGGTTGCCAGCGACAGTTTGCCAAAATTGTCCTCGCTGGACAGTTTTCTTTTTGGCTTGGTAGGGATTAACTGCTAAAACCTCTCTGAAGAGCACGATATCATGTTTTCTGGTCCATTCCATAGGAGAGTTGCTATTAAAGAAAAACGACCAAAGCAGTAAAATACACAAGATTTAATAACTTTATACTTACTTTTATACGGCTTCCTATTTCAGTTGTTGTTTTTATGAAATTCTGTGAAGACGAGGACTCGTTGCCCAGGGTAAGATAAACACTTTTAGTGCCTTTTTATGCAGGTCAAATAGCTCCAAACGAGTACAAAACGTAAACAAGCTATCACTTGAAACTTACATTTGTCCGATTTGTCCTTGAACTCCAACTTCCGTTTCTAGGGGTTTTCCCTCTGATATCATTATTATTCTGCTAAATTGTGGCAAATTATATAGTTTTTATAACAAATATATATTTTTTTTCGTTTTAAAGTAAAAGTTAGAAGTAAAAACATTGTTCACCTTTAAGGTATTTGACACAAAATCACCGCCCTCAAACTTGTTCATTTGCCGTCTGTGACCTCGCTCCACGGACTGCTCACGCCATAAAATACGGCACATTCATTTCCGGTTGACGTCCGTGAAACAAAAACGCCGCTTGCTTAAGCTCTCTAATATTTGTTTCGACTTTAACGTTTCTTCCATGTCTTCTGATTTTCACACCTGGTTGTAGAAATAGATTATAATATTGGTAACGTAAGGTTCGGCAAAACAACAGTACATTAGGGAGCTTTAGATTTGACTACGGCTCCCGCTACCGCTACAAGATTCGTCATAATTATTGACGTGATATTCGTGATGCTTTGACTGACGCCATAGACTCGTAGCCATCGCTCATCTGACTACGGCATTTTAAGAAAACTTCGTAGTCCTCACTACGTAAATTAAAGTTGGCATTTTCTCGTTTTTTCAAGAAAATATTTTGAGAGTGTGTGAACTGTTGATTGATTATGTGTATTTTTCGAAATAGTAGGCGTAAAATTTCTAAAATATTTGACAGGATAAATGTGCATTTATTATTGTGTTTGCAGAGATTTATCATGCCAGCACGAGGTGGTGTATGCATGAACGTTTTTTTCGCGCCACAGTGACGAATCTCGTAGCCGTAGCGAGAGCCGTAGTCAAATCTAAAGCTCTCTATATCCCCGAGCCGATGCGGTGCACCGTGCGAGGGTACCAATTCTGCTGGAAGATTAAGTACACCCGTGTATTTTGACAGAACATAGGCGAATCCAAGGTTGCTCGAATTATTTTATCAATGATCAACGTTGGGTGGTTTCGTGAGTTATGCGCATGCGCGAAATTTAGGCGAGTAAAGACTGTTGATCAGCAGTTTCTTGATTGCCAACTCTGATTGGCTAAGGCGAAATGTTTGTATTTTTATTGAGAACGTCAGCAAATTACTTATTTAACAGTCATTTCCCGAACTATTGCAAAAATATTTCACAAATATAATGAGCACATTCTTTTGCTTATGGGCAAATTTATCCATACTTTGGGTAAAGACAAAGGGTAAAATTTAAGACTGAGCGATTAAAGGAGAATGATATGTAGTCTATATAAGCTACCAAGTCTTTTAAACAGGTAGGTGTCTATTTTGTTTATTTCGTATTAATTTTGCTTTAATACTATACAGCTTATTTTTATGCTATATATTGAGCTTGATATGTTGTTTTGCACCCCCCTGGTTTTGTGAGTGCATTTAGGCTTACGACGGACTACGAAAAGCAATTGTTTAACCGTAAAAAGGGTTTTTAAAGTTAAAATCTGAATTTCGATAAAACAAATGTCAATTCAAAGCTTTTAAAATCGGCCGCAAGTATTCGCAGCCATAACATTTGTCGTTTAGGCTCGGGTGATTTTGAACTGTTTTTTACCTTTTGACGTTTTGAAGTTGGAAGTTTTAACTATTACTAAGCTATAAGAGTCTATAACTTGTAACTGGCGCATTATACAAATAAATTTCCAGCTTTAAGCAGCTGAAAAACGGGGGATGTTAACTGCAATTTTATGACCATATTTAACTATACATTTGATTCAGAATAACAGTAAATCAGTTGTGAAGTAGTGTCTTTTCGAAGTATGATATTTTAGTGCCTTTTGAAGTATGTAATAGTAGATATAGGAGAGAGACACGTGGGAAGAACGATATGGCCACGTTTTGAAAGTATAGTTTGAAGTTATATTGGTGAGCTTGTATATTTGAACAAAGTAATAAATAGGAAGTTAATCCAAGGGGAGTGCTTCGTTACACAGTTACCGACTTATATGAGTAATGTCATGATAATTATTATAAGCTTAGATTTCACTAGCTCAGAAAATTGGCTGTTTGAACTAAATTGGTGCAAGGGGTTGCTGCATGAAAGTATTTCTAGTATTTAGGTAGAATGCATCCCTGATCGCAGTTTTGAATGGCATTACTTGATATTGAAATCAGGTGCAATCGACAACTTCGTCAGGTACCCAGGGATGTAGCTAGACCACTTAATTGGGGTGGTGTATATTTATCCCCCAAGCCGGCGCGAAGCGCCATGCGAGGGTACTATAATCCCGCCCGGAGATTAGGAATTACTCCCGGGTATTCTGACAGAGCATAGGCGAATCCAAAGTTGCCCAAATGTCATGGACGTTCAATGGTCATGGTAGTTGTGCCCATGCGGGAAATTTGAACGAACAAAGAACGGTCGTCTACAACTTGCTGATTGGCTAAGACAAAAAGAGAGCATGCATGAGAGCGTCAGCATTTTAACCGTGATTTTGCAAACAATTTTTTAAAAATATAAAATGAAATCATGGAGTCAAATATTAAAACAATAATGAAAGATTTAAAGATCATCACAGCAGAGAAAGTAGTTTATAATCTTTGAAGTGGGAGGTGTCTATATTTTGCTTATTCAGTGTTTGCTGTAAGAATGCATTGTTATTTTGACAAATACGAGCTTGGTATGTCGTTTTACAAGGAGCTAACCGACCGTTTAAGGCTTTACATCATCGCTTAAACTTTAAAAAGAGTTCTCAAAAGTGTACTTCAGAGTTTTGATAAAACAAATATCACTTTGCAGCTTATATAGTCGCTAAAGTCAATGAATAAAATAAATAATCGAAAAACAACATTCGACGTTTAGTGCTTGAATGGTTATTATAATTATTTGTGCTGTTTTGATGTTTTGAAGGTTTAGCTATAGAAAAGTTTAACGCTCACTTAAACTGCAACGTAATGCAGCAGGCAAACAGGTGATTTCTGTTCACCTTTACGACTGTCATTGTTTCCGAAAAATTTGCACGACTTATTTCATAATATTAGCGTAGAAAGTTAGGTCTGGGTAGCGCACGAAATAGTTTGCTTCGTTTAAAATGGCGAGGGGTTGCTGCATGCATGTATTTCTAGTATATCCATGTTTATATACCGTAGGAACAATAGCGTACAAAAAAAATCAGTCAGGCATAAGACGAATATATGAATATACCCCCCCCCCCCCCCAATTAATCTTCTAGCTACGGCCCTGAACTTCGTCTTATTACGGCTCTCGAAGGCAAAATTTGAATATCATTATAGTATTAAATGCTAAAAATTGACCACGTTAAAAACAATTCTTTTTTAGAAGATTTTAGCCTCTGGAGGCAACCATGATATATTTATCATGTATTATGAACGTGCAAACAACAAGAAATTCCATTTACTACCGTACCCGTATGCGGAAACCGTGGAATCTTAATATGTCAGTATATGAATACATAAATTTTCCCTACCACGGAACCACGCTCGTATAATCATATTATAACCTGCGAATCATTATAACAGCGTTGCTTCTTATCCATGTAATGGTGGTCGTTTGAGATTGTTCACAATGTTGCACAAAACAATCTTTTGAAATTTTACGAAAAACTTATCAAAGCCACAGAATAACAATGTGGCGTGAATTGACTAACCTGTATTTAAATGCGGTTAGCTAGAAAAGTACAACTTGTATTTGTATAATATAATGGGCAAGAAATAGATCAGAATTCAGAATTTCATAAGATGTTTCATAATTATAGTTCTTCGCTATACATCGAAAATTTATTTGCATAAATCATGCATTCGTGCCTGCACGGACTTTTCTCATGGTGTAGATTGACAATCCTTTTCTTACCTCCACGTTGTGTTTTTTTCGTTTTCTTTCATTTTCCTTACCGCGGAAAGGTTTTGTGAATGTTTAGGCGAGCGGGAAACAACTAGATTAAGTGGTTGCTATACAAATTCATTTGCAGTTGCTTAGGAGAAAGCTGGATAATATTACCTCGATGCTCGTATGGCAATCTAGTTACAACTCCAAAAACTGTAACAGTTCCTCCACGTCTGATAACGATGTCAAGTTTGTTCACTTTTACTGTGACTTCTTTTGTGCATGAAACGGTATTTCCACACTTCTCGTTCCGTCCAAGCACAACAAATCTATTGTGAATATCTTTTGCCAAAACATATTGGCATATTCCTTGAAAGTGGATGAGCCTTCCATCGAAGGTTCGGTAGTGGGGGTCACCTTCTGCGCTGCATTTTGCTACTATATGAAGTATAAGAAGATTTTAGACATAAAATGTGATGATTTGAAAGGATAAAATTAGCATAAAAAACAAGCGGAAACTTTTTTATTCTAAATGATACAACAGATGTTCCGGTTAACCAAACATTGGCGTCAATCGAACGTTAATCAAAGGGGGCCCACATTCATATTTTCTGTTATGCCTGGCTTTTTTTGGAAACAATTTACATTCAAATCAGCCTGACATAACAATGATAATTACGAATATGGTCTCTCTCAATTAACGTCGGATTTACGCCCTGACCATTCAAGCATACTCCCTACGTGATTTTTACTTGCTTGCAAAAATGATATTACAGGTAAAAATATAGTGACCGAAGACCCTATTATAACGCCAATGTTTGTGACGTGTGTAACTGATTACGTTCGCCCCTAATGCAAACCAGGTGATCTGAGTCAGATAAATAAATTTGCCTTAAGAAAGGCATTGGTTGTCTATCAAAATTGTCCATGAATGCAATATACGCGATCGGATTAGACAAAATAAATCACAAATTTTACTGACAGAAACATTAATTTACTAAATAATTTTATAAATAGCTGGCCTTCTTGTAAACACAATTAACACTATCTCTAAACTTATCAGGGTGCATTTCTCTACTTGTACGGGTTGAAACGACTGTATAAAATTATACGATTTGACAAATCGTACGGGTCGGCGAATAGAGATAGACCCTCTATCTCTAAAGACATCAGGATGCATTTCGTAGTTTTATATGGTCTCCATAACCATGTATATTTCATTAACTGCGATATTACATACCTATACTTCCAATTGGCAGCATTCGAACATTTCAATGCAATATCAAATTGTTATTATAAATGGCTTACAAATGGCTATTACATGCAGAAATACTTACAGTGACCCTTGCTTTCTTGGACAGCAATTCCAACCAATATTACGATTGTGACCAAAAGCTTCAACGACAACATTTTGACGATACCTTGCGCTTCCTAAAATATGTTAACAGAATTGCTTCGTTCTGGTGACGTAACTGAATGCTATACGGTTTATAAACGATTTTAACTTACGATTTTAATTTAATTTTTACTTCCTTCTTATGGGAGATGTTCTTGTTGCCCGTTGAACCAACAGGCAAGCTTTATGTTTCACTGCGTGTTCGCCAAGATATTTTATCTAGATGAGTTTACGCGCGGGTGCACCCAAACAATTGAAACCTGAACGAGGGCAGGTACGTGTTTAATAAATTATGTCGCTTTTCTTATTTCCGAAAAAAATTCTGGAAACGATTTCTGAAAAACTAAAATTCGTTGTAGTCTTACAAGAATGTATAGGTATTCGATCATGCATATATTTTCGTTCAAAATATAACGTGCACTACTTTTACTTCAACTAAATATTCAATGATATTATGCACGTTATGCATTCTCACATTATACACATATAATAATAATAATTCAATTCGGATCTTTTCGAAATTCTGCATTGTATTTTGTTTTCAACAAGGAATAACTAACGAAATTTTAGAGTGTTAAAGGAGACAACCTACTGGCTCTGAGATTGTCACATCTACAACAATTTAGTTAACATGCAGGTACACAAGCTTATAAAGACAGGTGTTGTTAATGCAATTTCTAGTCTACAGCCCAGAATGATTACACGAATTTTCCACAAGAATTTTTACATACAGATAATTCTATTTATATAGAAAACATTTTTCGGTTAAGATATTATTTCTTCTTCTTTGCTAAATATTCAACTGAGTTTCTTCTCCAGTGAATTCAAACAATTGAAGACCTGAACGAGCTTTGAAGAGAACCCGCAATGCAACTGGTGTACGCTACGAGTTTAATAAATTATGTCGTTAACATTATTGATATTTTCTAAAAAAATTATTAAGAGTCTATGTATTACTTAAAGAAAAGAAATTCAAAGTTGAGATCTTTCAACGCCCGATTTTCTCTTTCCGATAGATATGGACGAGTATATTAGTTACGAATGCTCTAATGCATACAAAAAAAAATTGCACAGAAAATCGCAGCAAGAATTGTAACTGGTAACAGGCCTTTAGAAATATATTCGACGTATCAAGATAATCATCAGCTCGTATATCATCAGATAGTGTATCATAAGCTCAGGTCCTGGGTTCGTCTGTTCAGAAAAATATTAATTGCAACGAACACGTAAACAATATCGTTAAAAAGAAGGAAAAGGTTCTATATGTTGAGAGTGCTAAAACGATCAAACGCAGATACGAACGCGTAAATCACTGTGCATGTACACTACTATTATAAGACCTGTCCTTGAATGCAATTGTCAATTTTTGTACTTTAATATCCATGAGTATTTGAGTGAAGACATTGAAAAAATTCAGCGGCGCGCTTTGCGGATTTATAGAGAAGCTTCCCGAATTTTACTGGTATTCCTTTACTAAAAGCAAGGAGAGAAACATTATGAGAAATTTTTTTCAAAAAGGATTTTTGCATCTTTTTCTCCACTTGGTTTACGACAAGGAATATCTTCCGAATTTTAAGAGTAGAAAAGAAGACAATCATTTCTTTAAGATGCCCTAGGGACCCTAATCAAGTTGACAAACCTGTTATTGGAAGCGGCAAACGTTTATTTATCGACGGTCATGGTCACATTCTCCGTGCGGTTAGCGGTTCGCTGTAAACGTATAAGTCTTAGGGGATGTTCATGCACATGAGCTTTCGTGGTTAAAGGGATTCAACGGACGTGAAATGGACTTTGAGGCAATGAAATGAGTAAATAACACGATTCTGGTTGTTATAATAATTTTATCATCCTAACAATAGCACGTAATTAATTGTTTTGCTTTGTTTCAAAATAACATGTGATTGATTTCTCATTGAAGGGGGAGGGTTAAGGTATTTAAATTTGTCTCATATCCGACTATTTCTCTTGAACGCCATTCTTCCTCAAAAATATATATGCACACAGATGTCCCCACATAATTTATATAGAGACAGGTGCATGTGTTAACCATAAATGAGTTATAGAGAGGCCTCGAATTTTACTTCAGTTCCTTTACTAAAAGCAAGGGGAGAAACATTATGTGAACAATTTTTTCAAAAATATTCATATATTCAGTCCGCCCTACTGTTTCTCCTTCAGTTATGTATATCCTTCTGACAGAACATAACATAAAAATCTCTATGAATATTTATCCTCTCCCCAATTATCGGTTAGCTTCGTATATTCCGTTCTGAGTATGTTAGAGCATTGCACGTTTTTGCAAATGGGTGTATATATATATATATATATATATATATATATATATATATATATATATATATATATATATGTATATATATATATGGACTGTCACTCAACATGGGGTAGGAAGGCTGCTTTTATAAGTAAATTTAATATTTAATGCCTCTGAAACGCTGACTTAGTCGCCATTTTAAAGTCAGCTTGGAGGCCGACATCACATGTCACAGCTAGCTCGAAATTTTCTCGTACATCAAAGTTGCGACTGAAAAAGAATAGAGTTTAGCGGATTAAAACCTCACCTTTCATAAAATATAATTTTTAGAGAGGTTATAAACTTGCGTATAATGAAATAAGCATTATTTAGGAATTGTCTAAAATTTAGTTTACAATGTTCCTTTTCTCGATTTGTCATTCTCTATCGCCACTCAACGTGGCGTGCTACATTATCAAATTTATTCGAATCTTTGTCGTTTGATCAACCCAAACACAATATTTCAAAAATTTATTGAACTTGCCCTTTTGCTTACAATGATATTGATTACTAAAAATTTCAAATAACTAGTGAGGTGTAATTTATGAATAATATCAGTCATCTCAGTTGATTTTTCAAACATGCAAGTGTTCTAATTTTTCTTGATGAACCGCCTAACAACAGAATTGTGAATTTTCCAAAAATTTAATTGCAAAAAGTCATTGAAAGTTCTTCATGTCAAGAAAATCACGCTCTTGCTGGGTCACCGTCATTACTTGGAAGAGGGTTCAGTGACAAAACAGATGGAAGAGAGCTATTAGAGCATGTATATGGACCTAAAGACGTATCCTCCAATGCGGGGCCCCCAGTCGTCATCCCGATTCGCTTTTGATCATTGGACAAGAACAGATTTCGGTTTTTTGCACTTTGATTGGTGGTTGTACCGCTTCCTTTGGTCGCCTGTACCCAGGAACCAGTGTCTGTCTTGATCCATGTTGGTCCCCATTCTCCTTGGCGCCGGAAGCCGTTTCCAATCCAGTCTTCGATAAAGGAGTAAAGACCAGTCAACTTCATGCTCGTCTCCAATGGTCGTACCTGAAATGATGCCAACATTCGCCAGATGTTTAACTCTGGTATACGAAACCAACCAGTGAAGATGGCTTTGTCTGGTTCGGGACTTGGTCGCACGTTAACCATCAGTTGGTAGGTATTTCCCACGCTCCAATTGTATTCAAGATAGCTTTTGCCTCCCGTACCCTCTCCACCAAAACGAGTGACCGTCACCCCTGCACCTTTGGCAATGAGTTTAACCAGGTCGTCAGGCGATGCATTAGGATCGTCGTCCGTTGAGGTCTTGTCCCATATTGAGAAGATAACCCATTTTGGAGTGCGATCTTGGATGCCCATGTATCCGCCATAAAAGCCATTGGTCATATAGTAAGTGTTTGGCGCGGTGTCCGTCACTTTTACTTCGGTGTAAAACCAAGTAATGCCTTGAGGATTCGAGGGAGCTGACCATGAAATGTGAACAGAAGGAGAGAGGAACACCTCTGTGGTAGGCACCCATCGTTGTTGACTCGTTAGGTATACATCTTTCACTTCATAAGTTGGACCCCAATCGGCCTCGTATGGTGTGTCCCCTGCACGGTTGGACGATGCTAAACCTCCAGTAGCTCCACCAGTAAGAACCTGTTGCATGTAGTCAGTGCTGGTAACAACCCAGGCGTTGCCTGCATAGAATATCATTCGATTGATGCTTTGAGCTACCCAAATTTCTTTACCTCTTACTTGCTTGCTATTGCGTGAGTACTCTCCTTGGTTACTGCCATAGTCCTGGCCCTGGACAAAGTTGAGGCGCAGTTTCGATACGTCTGCCATTTTCGGTTCTCTTTTTCAACGCGGTTTAGGTGATTAATCTGCAATCAGATATAAATTAGAGTAAATTAATTTGTGCTGCATAGACTAACGGATATCGAGACTTTAATAAGTTTAATTTAACGCCATATTGACATTTCAGGAGCATTTACGTCGATCGAATACATGCATTTCTGCTAGACTCGGGAAAACTGCGAATTAATATCAACATGGTAGATATCTCATTGCCAGAAAATTCGGACATAATTAACATTCTACTTCCGCCTAAATTTGCATATGATGTCAAAATAAAGCTTCTTGAGTTTATAGTAAACTGTAAAGTGCACAATACTAAACGCTAAAAATACACCTTTAGGTAGGTCGATTATAATTTGCCTTAATTGCTCGTTGCGGAGCAAGTTAATCTTAATATTTTTATATAGTATTTCAAAATGTTTTATCAGTATTCATCCTGCATTTTCAAAACAAAGTTTTGGTCATTTATCACGTTGAATACCATATAAAACGAAAACCGTAATAGCGTAGAAATAAAATAAAAATGCAGAGCCGACATAAACCTTTACCAGCAAAATATTACCTCAGAGTCTTATTACAAGAAACAACCAGGGCAAATTGCAAAGACGCAATAATTTTCTTAAATTTTGCGAAATTTAAGAATGCGCAATATAATTTATAGTTCTGCAACGAATAATATTTGAGCAGATATGCAAATTTGCTACGGCAATCTGCATATTCCATGTCCATGTATATCTGCATATTCCATATTGTAACCATGTAACGTATGAAAGTAATGATTTATTCCTGTCATGTGGTCATACTAATATTAATTTTTATCATTTATAGACGAGCATTTATAAGCGAGGTTTTATTATACCGAAAACTTGTTTACTATATAAAATATGTAAAAGAGAAAATTTAAATCTGAATAATTATAATCATAGAAATGCTGACATTAATCTTTTACTTCCCAAAGCAAATACTGAATACTTACAGAAGAGCTTTGGGTACAGGAATTGTTTACCAATGCGAGCTAAGCAAACAAAATCTTTAAGCAGTTTTAAAAATTTGATAAAATCATGACGACTCTCTTTCAGACATCAATTAGTCGTAGTTTCTAACTTTTTTAATGATTGCATGCGTATACGTATATGTAAATACTTTCATTAATATATTGTAGGTACCTGGTTTAAGGCGGATTTCCACTTACAGCGAAATCGTTCGCTAGCGAAATATTTGCATATTTTCTTTTAAATTTTAACAGTATAAATAAATTAGTTCGACTTGACTGTTTTCATTTCAAAAGAAAATATGCAAATATTTCGCTAGCGAACGATTTCGCTGTAAGTGGAAATCCGCCTTTATTAAATCACTTATATAATAATTATGTAATTTTGTGACGCCCCTCATGAAAATCATCTACGGGTGATGAGGGTAGCGTGGTTAAATTTAGTTTTATCTATCTATTTATGTGCTCTATAAGACATAACATTTTCCCGCTTCTTCACCCATAAATATCACGAGTTGTGTGGCTCTTACGATATCAATATCCGTCTCTCTAGCGGTGAATACGTAGAAGCCGCTGTTGTATTGTGAATACGAGGAGGGCGATGGCTAAAATGTAGTACATTTGTTGGTAAATCCCGGAAAGAGCATGATAAATTTAATCTTCGCTTGGCCAAAATGGTGCATTTTAATTAGAAAAGTTGAATCATAATATTCACGTTCATTGAACGTGAAAACAATCATGCAAACAGCCAAATAATGATTACAACCTGAAATTCACTTTTCTGGGATCATTGTATGGCTGATAGCGTCATCTCCACAATGTCCCTCGTTTTTTTACCTAATAGTGCTACCAGGATATATCCTATTTCTAAAAATATGGCATAAAAAAAATTAAAACGGTCACACATTTGACAATTCAGAATTCAAATAATTAAATTTCCGGTCAAAACGCTTGTTGATTAAAACATTGTTTTGACGAATCGCTCGACAGGAAACTTCCAATTGCTTGTATGTCAATGTTCCTGTTTATCTAATTACATTTGAAACACGCCTTCGTTTTTTTTAACATGTTTTATTTAATGACAGTCACAAGTATTTGTATCTATCTATCTATAGTTAAAAGAAAATAAATCTGGTTGTATAGAAAGCTCGACAAAAACATTGTTAATTGTTTTACGTTTTTGTTCACGTTTATGCTAATTTCTGCACCCATTCTGTATGATGAAACTATTGTCCAATCATCAATCGACATCACTAAATAACAGACTCTTTGAAGTCTCATTAGTCAATCACATTTCTAGACATGCAATATGCGCAAAGTCATTCACCTAATAAAAGGTACTTAAAGATTGACGTTTTTCGCAAACTGCCGACGCAAACTATTTTTCGTATTCGTCATCTAACAATTAGCGGTGTTGAAGATGAGAAAGCTTGAGCATGAAAATTGAAGCATGAAATATAAACTAAACTGTCGAACACTTGTACGGTTTACATCCAGATATAAGTTGAATTTTGCCACTTCCGGTTAGCGGTTTGCTGTTAACGTCAATGTCTCTAATGACATGCAACATAAACCTAAACCTGGTATGATATTTTATTCAGAGCTGAGTTACTAATTTTCGTAAGGGAACGTATGAAACGGCTTGAAATAATTGTGTTAGCGTGTATATGCATATCTAGATTTACTAGCGATTAATAGTTTAACAGCTCCGTGTTTGTTGCCTTTTTGGTTTGCCTGATCGAATTTCACTGGGAACATTTCAACTTCTGACTCTTTAAATAACAGTACCATTGTGTCGATGAATTCATTTCACAGTATATTCTAAAGTGATTTGGCGATTTTACGCGTCCGAGCATGCGACTTGTGGTGAGCGACAAAATGTACGCACTAGACACTATCGCACTATCGCAATAATTCGCAATAATGCATTATACGGCGCATTATCAACGTTATAAGCTCCTCCTCAGTTTTTATTGATACATAATAACTGTTGCCATACATAATAAGTTTAACCTTACCTCAAAAATAGCTCGTGAACAGTGACAAGTCCGTACTGTTTGAAAGTCTATTCAAATGCAGGCTGTTAAATGATACTTGAATGCTCTAACGACAGATCACAGCAGGTAATTTCCTGTTATTCGATTGGTGCGTTGTTTCCTCACCACAGGAGGCTTTGGGTCTATAATATATGGTGATTACTAACTATACTTTTATACATGTTTAATTTCACGTTTCGCCCGTTTAGCGATCATGTAAATGGTATCATATATTCACTAGTTGTTGGGAATGCGACACCGTCCCAGTCATTTGCAATGTGGATATATAAGCTGGTTGAAATGCTTTGTTACTTTGTTTGGGGATGCGATCCTTCACAACTCGTGCATAAAAACTGTACGTACTCGCCAACCATGAAGTAATCTCAACATATAAATTTTTTTTATTATAGCCTAGAAAACAATTAATAAATTAGAGTATAATTATGTGAGCGAGATAGAAATTTTAACGCTGTTGTTATAATTCAGTGTTAAAAGTTGCAGTTTTAAAAGTTTGAGTGATCTTTGAATTATCAAAAACAAGTAAATTAAAATTTTTTGTACTTTTATAAAAAATCTCGATATCTATAACTATAAGATACACAAATTTAGTAATGGGAAGTGCTTTTGTATGGTATTTTCGCACTTGTTAATTTGTTTTCACAAGTTCACTCGTTCGTTACACTCGCTCGTTCGCTTTGTAAAAACAAATTAACGCCCACGAAAACACCATACGTCAGCACTTCCCATTAAGAAATCTCTATTAAAATGTTTTGTCTTTGACGTTTGTACAATTTCAGGGCGGAAAAACCGGCTTGAACTCGTTTTAGTTCGCGTTAAAACGTTTCAAACGTTTGAGTGCCATTCTGACCGGACGATCAGCAGACATTTTGCAACGAGTTTTGTCGATTTCAATCATACGATCATTTCTTGCAATCATCTAACGTTTTCTTAGCACACTTCAAACAATCATAGCATTTCGAACAATCTTCATGTTGCAAGTAAATTGCATAGTGTAACAGCGTCTTAATTTCTCTAATCTTACGCCTCGTTTACATAATCACCTTCCCAGAAACTCCAGCCATGCATGCCAATAAATTAGTGTAGTGTAAACGGGGCTTTAGTGGAACCAATCTTTGATCAGACAGGGCATGTACAATATAAGCGCCTTGATAATAGTTTCATTACCGTCAGCTCTTCTGCAATGTATTTCGACTAATTGGTAAAAAAATTACCTTCTACTTGCCGATATTTCTTCCTCTCCTCTTCAACTTCTCGTCACTCACGAGTCACACTTGCATATCAACAAGCTTAGCTTGTTCGTCGAGGAGTCGCACTATCAAATAGAACGTTAGATTCCACGCTTTGCATGCCGTGCCATTCCTCCACATCATTGCTCGTTCTGAAAGCCTGGTGGAAAACACACCATGTCTCTGGTCACCATTAAAAATATTAGTCAGCTAGAGAATGGCAATATTCATACTGTTATTACCTATACTATATAGCCAATTTAATACCTTTCATCCAGTTCTCACGTACACGTGTATATACCTGACCAACTCCATCAACAATGACGTGGTGGCTTTTCGAGAAAGATTCTCGAACACAGCTGCTATATGTGCTGCTTTGGCGATAAGGTAGGGCCAGAGATGTTCTACACAAAATATTTGTAGCATTGTCTTTTTATAAGCTGGCGCAAGACAAATCTCCTGAATTTACCTCCATATGCATTGCGCCCAAACTTTTCAAGATTCCTTTCTTTTGATTTTTAATGGCATTTAATAATTTCCGGTAATCACGTTTCCGTTTCCTGGACGTCTGTACAAAGGCAAGCGGCACACAATCTCCGCACACAATCTTTCGCACAAATGAATGGATGGACAACAACTGGGTGAATGGCGCTTAACTACTTTAAATGTTCGACATACCATGTTTTTGGATTTTGACAGGAGCTCGAGCATGTTTGGAAAGATTGGAAAGAGACTGAACGGTAATAAATATGTCTTAATGCATAAAATTTTTGTTGCTCGCTGTGTTTTTTTTTAGGATGCGTGTCGTTGTCAACTTGATCTCTATACACATAATTATAATAAACAAAGTACTTCATGGTTTGCTCGTTTGTACGATTTTTATTATTAACTCGTTGTGAACAACTCGCGCATAAAAATCGTACTCACCCGCTAACATGAAACAATGATTATACTATAATTATACTCTCTCTTTATGTATACGAATATAATAGCCTCTAAAACTGGAAATGATAAAAATGAATATACCTTGTTCACAACTTTAACTGCTGTTGTGAAGACTTCAGCAGCAGCAGCAGCAGCATCTTTCTTCACCATTGTCGAAATACGAGTGGCTAGCCGTTGCTGCATTTGTGGAGGATGTATAATTATGATGCTGTGAACCTTAAACGAAACTATCAGCTTTTCCTAGCACGCTAGCCATGCAACACACGGATTTATTCCTTACACTGCACGTCCAAACTTTGTTTCCATTGGCCCTCCTTAGATTTACTGTGTAAGTTTAGCCCTCGCTGACCGCTAATTTTTCTTTTCCTTTCTGCTGTCATCGTTGTCATCGTTGTTTAGCCTATTGGAATGTGTTTATGACCACATGCATCGTTCCTTATTCGGTACTTCTACAGTAGTTTTCTCATCCACTTTAGGATCGATTTCGCTGTACTTACGTCAAAAGAAACTTTATAACATTGCAAAGTTATTCCTAATTTTAAAATTTTTACACGCTATGAAAAAAGTGTTAAAATAAGCGATATTTTCTCACACGCCAAATGCTCGCTCCGCGGCGGCCATTTTTCGCGCAAGTGAAGGTTACCACTTTACCCATGATGATTTGCTAATATGCAAGTTGCGTATTATCGTATATATATTCAAATTTCATGTAGTTATCGGTAGTCTGAAGATGTCTTAAATTGAAGACGAAACGTTACCAGTAAATCTCTCAAAAAATTTTAAGCTATTTTAAATGTCTTTAAATGTTGAAAGTGATATGTTAGGCTCTCGTATCTATTCATCTAAAGCCGTGTTTACACTACAAACCTGAGCCTGGCCTAGGCCTGGCTTTATCCAAGATCTTTTTAGAACGAAGCGTTTACACTTACGCTTCGACAGCCTGACTTTGGCCTAGCATTTCACTGCTTGCATATATTTTTACTTTATGTAAAATAGAACTTAATTTTATGTTTAACGCCAACTAGAACTTCATACCCAAGTTCGTATCAAGCGTTGCTATAGAAGTAAGCCTTAGGTCCACACCGAAGTGTTTACACTGCCGTAAAGCCACGCTTAGGCCCGGCCTAGGCCACCTGTTATGATGGGCCTAGATTTCCTGGCCTAGGCCAGGCTTACGCCAGGCCAAAGTGTGTTTACACTAGGAAGATCTAGGCCAAAGCCAGGCCTAGGCCAGGCTCAGGCTTGTAGTGTAAACACGGCTTAAGAGTTCGTTTCCCGTCTGGCAAATCTCTACGATATTCAGATCTACCACGGAATGTCATGCATAAAAGGAAAGCATATTTAACGCTTACCAGTGGCCGAAAGCGCTTACCAGTTGTGTTCACTCAGGCGTGCTGTAGCAAGGATTAATCATATCTCTATTGTTGTGCTAAACGATATACATTCCCAGTTGTTTTATGGCCACGTAACTCAATCCTATGATCGCAATCGTATCAGCAACATAAAATATGGCGTAATTCGCGTTTGAATTCTAAATAGTGCCAAGTTAAAACTAAATGGCACGGTAACAATCATCAATGTAAAATGATTTCCTTATCTAGTAAAATTTCCTTGCAAATTCTAATAACTAAGTAGGCGTGAAAGTAATTTAGAATCCTTGTTAAGATATTGAACCTGTTAAATCGCAGCAGGACATCCTAAAAGCCGCTGTAGCGTAGCCAGCCAGGTTTTTTCCGCTATGCTAATATTTATGAAGTTTGTAGTATGTGATAGTAACGAAACTATTATTAACCCTAAATACAATATTAACGATTATTAACCCTAAATGCATAGTTTAATATAGTTAATAAATTGAATAATACCTTAATATCTATATAATATATACCTTAAGAAACGATAGTTTTGATTTTTACCCGAAATTCAAAGTTAGGCAACTAGGAGATCTTTTAGAATTTTCTTTAGAAACAGTTTGCACTTTGTTTGAGACACCCTTCACAACCTGTTCCATGACTAATTGCAAAACATCGTATTTTGGTTTCTATTGTTTGGTGTCACCAGAGCAGAACTCTTCCTTTGTCTAACGAAGGGGATATAATACCTTACGGGGAAATTGGACTCATATTTATTGACATTCAACAAGGGAACAATCAAGGAAGAAAGAGAGACATTTGAAATTGTAAGTTATTTTCTATTTTTTTGCAATATGCCTCAATGCTACTCGGACGTAGTCACATTACGTTTCAAATTTCCTATCTGAATGTATAAGTCTGCAAAAAAACAAAAAGAGCAAGGAATTGTGTACATAACAAGTCATGTCCGATGATCAATCGTTACTTTTTTATCAATTCATGACACCTACAATATTACAGCTATTTGCAAGCCCCCGTTAACTGTGAAGTTTTTATCACGTTTGTTTACGTTTCAAACTTTTGGGTTTAACCGGAAATGTTAAATAAACTATAAACCAATCAGATTACACTGTGATATTTCGACAGTTGCATTGGGCGGAACCTGTCAAAACTTTCGAAATTTCACAGTGTAACTTGATTTGTTTACAGTTTAACATTCAACGTTTCCGGTTAAACACAAAAGTTTGAAACGTAAACAAACGTGATAAAAACTTCACGGCTAGCGACGACTTGCAAATAGCTGTACTCTTACTATTGAAACTTGCCTACACTAACGCTTATTGTCATTAAGAATTAAATCTGCCGAGATAAAGGTCAAATCTATATTCTGCCGACAGAGATGTACACGATTAGATGTATAGTATGCAAATTCATGTAGATTATCCTCATCATTACCCTCTATAAAAATTATACGTTCATACTGTTTCAAGTGGGATAGTTGGGTAATTAATAATTTACGACTTAAATTCCTTTACCTGTCAAAATGCAACAGGTTGACATGCAGTTTTGCAGTTGCTAACGTACGTTCCAATAAAATAACGCTAACCAAGAATAAATGCGACAGTATCAAAGTTTTATATGAATACATGAATCATGGAAGAACATAAGGTTTATTTTTAAGCAATGTGTTTCACTGTATTTTAATGTTTCTTCGTGTAGTTATTGCAGTCGACTCTAAAACATTTCAAATTATATTTGTTCTTTCAAATATATTTGTTCTTAATTACAGAAACACAATTTCTTCTTGAGGTTGAAGCGAAGGTGCATCCTTTCAATGTAGGTTGTGCTTTAGTCAAATGACATACCATGCTCATGTTACACAAATAAACTGCATAGTTTCAGAAAACGCAGAATAACGAAAATAAACACCTATCTGCATGTTTTTAAGGGACACTTAAAAGCTTACAAATGCATGATTACAGCTATTCATTAACTCTGTCTGTGTACTTCTGGTAAGTAATTTAAGTAATTTAGCTTGTTGGTACACCACGTAAGAATTTAATACTGCAAAGCTTTCAATCGATTAACCTGAGCCTTCATCAGTGCAATTACCTGAGTACACATTCACACGTCACTTAAATCTCACGTTAGTCGTGATTTGTTAGCTCACGCCATTAATTAAACGGTTTCACATACGAAATAATTATGAAAAAGAAATATTTCTAATTAGTGGGCGTGTCCTAGACGCCACGTACTACCGAGTGGCCAACCCTCTGCAATATTTTGATGTTTAAAGATTTCAATAGATTTTCTCATTATTTTTACGATATACTTATTATTTGCTGAAATGCTTGCATCTTTCCATTTATTGCTTTTGCAGTTAGCCAATAAATAACTCGCTGACGGCTATGTGCTAACATAGCTTATAATGTTATATCTATGGAGCTATTGGTGTGTAGCACATTTTCAAAGTTGAAATCACTAAATGCGCTCTGGAATACGATTTGAAACTAATTAACAATCTTTGTTGTAACATATTGAACCTGTTAAATCGTAGCATGATATCCTAAAAGACAGTAACGTAGCAAGCCAGATGATTTGTCCACTATGCCAATATTTTGGTATTCGTTGACTCTGAAAAACAATGTCATTGTTTATTTCAGTTGCATGCCTCTAATTTGCCCAGAACACAGAGCTCACCAGTCTCGGAAATCGCCGGCACCTCCTATAGGGCTTGTAGTTAAAACGGAAGCGATTAATGAATAATTGTAATAACTCGAAATTTACATAGTGGGACAAAATGCATGGCTACGGCACTGCTGAAAGGGTTGCGGCGTGACAAAACTTTTCTATGAATATTTTCAATAAGTATTCCGGCCTGAGCCTCATTTGTATTTGAACCTCCGCTGCACGTTTGCTCAATATACGGACCTCTTAAAGATAAAAATCGTCAAAAATAAAAACTAAACACAAACCATCGCAGATGTTTGTAGTATGTGATAGTAACGAACCTATTATTGACACCAATATCATTATAAATTTATATGGCATAATTTAATATCAGGCCCGTTTACACTACACTTAAAGCCCCGTTTACACTTAAAGCACTACACATGATTTATTTGCACGGCACGGTTAAAATGGGTACCCCTGCTCATTTCATCTGTTCTCGGCATTTGTTTTGGTAGCCTGAACACTTACAAAATTGGGTACAGGTACCCATTTCAGCCGTGCCATGCCGTGCCAATAAATTGACTGTAGTGTAAACGGGGCTTATTTCTCCAATCCCTTTGGCACTAAAATCTAAGAAACAGTAGATTTAATTTCAACTCGACGTCGTAGGTTAACCTAGGCAACAAGGAGATCTTTCAGTATTTTCTTCAGAAATAGTTTGCACGATTTCTTTACGACACCCTTAATGACTTGTTCGATGACTGATTCCAAAACATCGTCTTTTGTCTTCCATTGGTTGGGGTCACCAGAGCAGAACAGAGGCGATATAATACCTTACGGAATAACTGGACTCATATGTATTTTTCAGAGATACTTCGCGGTGAACACGGGAATCATCAAGGAGGAAAGAGACATTTGAAATTGTGAGTTATTTTTATTAAACTACTAATTCTAACCAAATTGTTTGAAAAGGATGCAAGATATAATTATTCAAGGAAGCGTTACGAAAATGGTTCTAAAGATGGAATTTCTCCTTTTCTTTTGTAATAATTCTTTGCGATATGCCTGAATTAAGTCCGCTCGGAAGTTCTCACCTTACGTTTCAAACTTCCTATCTGATTGTATAAGTCTGCAAAGAAGCAATAAGAGCCAGGAATTGTGTACATATGCAAATCACAATAGAAATCGTGTGTTCCGATGATTATAATATCTGGCGTTTTTTAATAATTCACGACACCTATAATTATATTGAAACTACTGAAACTTGGATGCTAACGCTTATATCGTCGCTCTTAGAATGAAATCTGTCAGAATAAGACGATAAAGGCCATATTTTATCCACCCAGATGTACATAATTAGGTGTATAATATGAAAATTCATGTAGATTATCCTCATGATTGATCTCTAAGTTCATACTGTTTCAAGGGATTGACGAAAATCAAGTAATTAATAATTTACGGCTATAGCTAGTACTTGAATTCCTCTACCCGTCAAAATGCAACAGGTTAACATGCTGTTTGGCAGTTGTTACAATTCCCTGGTGTAACTTACGCCACGATACGGAGTTCTTTCCAATAAAGTAACGCTAAACGAGAATAAAAATACAACAATATCAAAGTTACTTGCATGAATGCATGAATTATGGAATTACATAAAGTTTATTAATCTTTTAAGCGATGTATTTCACAGTGTTTTATTGTTTATTCCTGGGGTTATTGCAGTCGACTCAAAAACTTTCTAAATTATATTATTTTGTTCTTTCAAAATTATAAAATTACACAAACACAATTTCTTCTTGAGGCTGAAGCGAAGGTGCAGTTTTTAAATGTAGGTTATATGCTTTAGCTCAACGACATACCATGCTCGGATCATGTTACAGAAATAAATTGTATATCATATTTTCAGAAAACGCGGAACAACCAAAATAGAGACCTATCTGCATGTTTTTAAAGGGCACTTAAAAGCTTACAAATGATTACAGCTATTCTTGAACTGTATCTGTGTCTTTCTGGCAGCTATTTAATTTTATTTTGGTCAAAGTTCACCTAACACTTTCACAAAATTGTTTCCAAAATGACAGTCAAATTGCTGACGTTCTTTTTTGAAATACAAACCACCCTACGGCTCTACGATACGATCTAGTTCGTCTCATTAATACTTTATGTCTCGATTTCTATACCTGTTAAAGTGCAACAGGTCTGTTAGAAGTTATCGAAATCGAGATTGTTATGACTCGATCAATCGGAATTAACGAAGAAACGCGAACAAAATTATTGAAATATCGAAGCTGATCACACTCCAAATTTCCTGAATGCAACGCTGAAAATTATAATCGAAAAAATTAACGTTTCAATAATTATGTCGTTTATGACACGATTGATACACGAGGAAAATGTATCTATATACGAAGTATTTCAAGCGCGAAAATATCATTGAAATACTACACTCTCTGAAATATTCTTCATTTTGAACCACCGTTCTTTCAAGAACGGCCTTTCATGGATGAAATTTATTAAAAATAACCAACAAAAGAAAACATAATTGTCATAATAAACACCAGTTGCATGAACTAGTCCCTCCAAGCATCATTCAACTCAAGAATTCAATTAGTTGAAACGACAAGAGTGAAACTTGGTCTTCACGAAGCAAATAATATACCGGCTCGTTTACACCTGGAAGTTTTGCTGCGACTTTTCCCATTTTCTTGCAAGAAAACGATGTATAAAATAAAAAATGGGCTAACCAAACTTTTGTCGAGTAAAATGCGCGAATGTGTCAAATGTCGGCCATATTGAATCGCCAATATTACCATGACAACGGAAATGACGTCATATTTATCGACAATTTCTTACTGTTAGATAGTTGGTGAATATATCTGAGAAGTATCATTTCCTTTAGCAAAATTTTTAATCTAAATCACGAGTTGTCAATATTTTTAAAATTGTATGGAGCCACCTTAAAGTGGTTCTAATTTGTTAAAAACGATGATGTTGTGACGTAATTATCTAGTGGGTCTATTATAAGCAAATGTATACAAGGATGCATTCATTATGTTTTACTCTTCCTGAACTAGAGATACACGCATGCAGCAGCCCCTCGATTGGGTTTAACGAAATTATTTATGCACATGGATCGTAACACATAGTTAGAAAATTTATGTAGGTTGGGGGGTTGTAGGGTACGTGATATGTGAGATAGTCAGTGTTGTGGTAAGTTATTTTAGACGTCTCATCCAACTTTCGAAGTATAATGTTACGCCTCGACTGGTTTTCAAGAAGTTTTTAAGGGCTCTGCATGCATGCAGTCCAAAAGATTACACATTCAGGGTTTAATTATTATTGTGTGTCTACATTGTAAAATTATTTGCAACCGCATGACTGTAACTTTAAGTTACCGGGTTGTATTCATAAATTTGTAATTATCTCTGTTGTCTCATTTATCTAAACATCTCCCAACACATACATGCATATATAATTATTTCATTGCACAAACTTTCGGACGATCACTTCCTCCATGCAGGCTCTATCTGCTGAAAAATTTCTTTGCAACAGTCGTAAATGTTGTCTACATTTGCTTCACGTGCATCATGGGCGACGCTGAACCCGAAACATTTCTCTAACACATTTTAGGACAAAGTTCAGGCCAAAATGATCAAGCTCCTACTCGGTATTGTGTTCTTGGCAGGAATTGTTGTCCAAAGCACAGAAGGTAAGTGTGTATTTTCACGATAATATCGTATCGTGGTTTGCTGTTTTCCTAATCATCTGCATGGTCTGTTTTCAAAAACATGCATGCACTGCATGTTCATATCGTTCTAACCACGGTATCTAAATGGCCACCAAATGCTATAGAGCTAACAAAAAGCACGAAAAAAGGCAATAACTTATACAGGGTGTCTCAAAAAAAGACGAAAACTATTGAAATCACCCATAACAATGTAATTGTTTGAGTTTGAATGACTAGGCACTCTGTCGGGACCCACAAGTGCATAAATGTTTGCCACAAGCATTTTCATGCATGATGCAGTAAAATTTCCTTTGTCGACCTTCGTCGAAAAGCATTTCGCACTTCCGTTGTATTTTGGGTGCGCGTATAATTTATCGCAATAAACACTCGTTGTTCCGCGGTCAGCTGTACCATTTTCTTTCGAAGCAATAACAAGGCTAATTCAAATTTAATCATATTCACAATTTCAAAAATTTCGTTTTTAGTATTATATGAGTTGCATTAAATCCCCACGGGCTAAAATTCGTGAACACGGCATTCAAATTTTAACAATGAGTGATTTCAATAGTTTTCGTTTTTTTTGAGGGTGTCCCAAAAAAACCGCAACCACTTAAATATGCAAGAATATTAATATTGTTCGGGTTTGCACCAGAGTTCAGCTAAAATGACTTTTAGCATTGTAAATGAAGGATTAAGAGCCATTTTCAATTCCCAGAGGTGCTTATCCATTGCGCTTTAGAGCTGTATTAATGTTCTGCATATTTAAGTGGTTGCGTTTTTTTTTGGGACACCCTGTACAGCATTTGCCCTTCATTCAGGGAAAAACAATACTGAGTTACGCTTATTGCATACTTAATAGTTTGCTTCTAATTTCAATAACAGCAATAAAATGTCAATTGGGCGTATTGGAAGTTCAATGAAACAACTAGTTAATTCATGCCAACTTTTAACGTTCAAATATGCGAGTCAAATAAAAATAGCATGTAGGGAAGAATCATTAGTGCGATACGAGTAACAATAAGGTAAACCCATACATAATTTAAATAGTAATATGTATTTTCAATTAACTCCCGTTCGTGCCATTGTAAATTTAAGTAGAATTGTGAATAGTTTCAATTGATGCAGTCCTATCTACCAGGATGCCTGGCGAGAGAAAAATGATTAGTGCGATACGAGTAACAATAAGGTAAACCCATACATAATTTAAATAGTAATGTATTTTCAATTAACTCCCGTTCGTGCCATTGTAAATTTAAGTAGAATTGTGAATAGTTTCAATTGATGCAGTCCTATCTACCAGGATGCCTGGCGAGAGAAAAATGATTCTTCCCTACATGCTATTGTTATTTTGATTCGCACATTTGAATGTTAAAAGTTGGCATAAATTAAATCGTTGTTTTATTGAACTTCATTACGCCCAGTTGACATTTCATTGCTGTTATTGAAATTAGAAGCGCACTATTCAGTAAATACAATAAGGGTAACTTAATATTGTTTTGCCCTTTAAGTGCCTATATCAACCTCAGGGAAATAACCTACTTAGATAGATCAGACGACTTTAAGAACATTTGCAATATATTTGATAAGACGAAAATTTGATCTTCATGTACTTTTCTGGCCTCAAAGTTGGCTTTTTTCGTGTTTGACCGTGAGGTGCTGTGAGTGGGAACTAGTTCCCCTTTTTCACCGGAAGTGACGTACATTGGAGAACACGCTAATTTTGTAAACAAGAAACACGCTTTGAAATATAGAAATATTGCGGCAATAAAGTACGAAATCTTGTAGTATATAAACTTTTTGGTTCGTTTTTCGCTAAAACGACGTCGTCAAGTATTTCCGACAACTTAGACAGCCAACTTGATTCGGATATTTAATTCATCCCGGACTATGTATTGCCAATATTGGAAGTTGAAGACGATGCGATACTGTTGCTTCAAGAGACAGTACAGTACGGCTACACATGACGGTTTATATGAACCTTACCAAGACAAACCGATTGCTGACCGTGCCGAGTGTAATGAAGATTAAAAGAGGGACGTGTACATGAAGAAAGAAGGCAGCTTCTTTTATTCGCAAAACGGCCGGACTATCCCAGTGTCAGATTGGTAAGTGAAATATATAAAGGCACTATATCATTACATATAAAGCACTACATATACTGACATTTCACCCTACTGTTTCACAATCAATATAAATATATGTTTGTGTGCAAATGTAAAAATTGCAAGATCGATCTCTTGGTAAATGAAAAACAGGAGCTTTGAAGCGTTGAGTGGAGAACTTGTCTTACAAGAAGATGGAGTAATATGCATGTCCTTTATCCATTTAATTTCAATTCAAACATGATAATTTAGAATAAGTTCTCAATACTTCACATTGTTCTATATTGTATATGCTTATGATTCCATAAGACAAAGGTTTGAAGGTTTTAAAGATCTTTCCTCCAAAACTTTGTCTGGAATGGAATTATGAGCACATGCCAACAAAGGTGTTCTTCTCTCTCCCATGTAGCCATAAACCAATAGACCTTTTCAGCTTGCATGCAATTGTGACTTGAAATAGGTTAATTTGCATACAAGCTGAAAAGGTCTATTGGTATGGCTACTTGGCAGAGAGAAGAATACCTTTGTCGGCATGTGCTCATGATTCTATTCCAGACAAAGTTTTGGAGGAAAGATCTTTAAAACCTTCAAACTTTTGTCTTATGGAATCATAAGCATGTACAATATAGATGAATGTGAAGTATTGAGAACTTATTCTAAATTATCATGTTTGAATTGAAATGGCTAAAGGACATGCATATTAGCCACTAGTTATTGTTGAATACTTGCCTGTTTTAATCACCTTGCACATTTATACTTCCTTCCATCTATGTTATGAGACAGACGCCACGACCTGGGCGCATTGTTATGCAATGTGGGACCTCTCCAACTTCTTGTAAGACAAGTTCTCCACTCAACGCTTCAAGCTCCTGTTTTTCATTTACCAAGAGATCGATCTTGCAATTTTTACATTTGCACCTACAAAAACATATATTTATATTGATTGTGAAACAGTAGGGTGAAATGTCAGTATATGTAGTGCTTTATATGTAATGATATAGTGCCTTTATATATTTCACTTACCAATCTGACACTGGGATAGTCCGCCCTTTTGCGAATAAAAGAAGCTGCCTTCTTTCTTCATGTACACGTCCCTCTTTTAGTCTTCATTATACTCGGCACGGTCAGCAATCGGTTTGTCTTGGTAAGGTTGATATAAACCGTCAGTGTAGGCGTACTGTCTCTCGAAGCAACAGTATCGCATCGTCTTCAACTTCCAATATTGGCAATACATAATCCGGGATGAATTAAATATCCGAATCAAGTTGGCTGTCTAAGTTGTCGGAAATACTTGACGACGTCGTTTTAGCGAAAAACGAACCAAAAAGTTTATATACTACAAGATTTCGTACTTTATTGCCGCAATATTTCTATATTTCAAAGCGTGTTTCTTGTTTACAAAATTAGCGTGTTCTCCAATGTACGTCACTTCCGGTGAAAAAGGGGAACTAGTTCCCACTCACAGCACCTCACGGTCAAACACGAAAAAAGCCAACTTTGAGGCCCGAAAAGTACATGAAGATCAAATTTTCGTCTTATTAAATATATTGCAAATGTTCTTAAAATCGTCTGATTTATCTAAGTAGGTTATTTCCCTGAGGTTGATATAGGCACTTTAACGAAGGGAAAATGCTGTAGTTCAGCCTCTTGAAAAGCACAAAAACAACCTTGCAGAATTGCACCAAATAATAAACAGACTATATGATTTACGTCATTGCAAGCAAGAATATATTTCAAAATCGCATTGCATTTCTTTTCCTTTAAACAACCCATAGCCCGTAGATGCTTCGGAAATCGAAGTAGAAATAACTCGTGCCTGGTACATAATTTGTAGGAAAATATACGTACGAAAATATACGTATATAAATGGTGACACTTTCAATTGAATAATTTTGAACACAAAATCATTAAACTGGACAAGACATATATATTATTGTAGGAACAGTTTAGAAAAAAACATCGTCAAATATGTAATACATGGCCTCCCAGGCAGGAACTAAACCTACGCTAGTATACCAATGTGATGTACAGAGGTGCACGACCACTATGTTAGATCCGAGATATTTGGAAATAAATCCTCTCTCGTATAACACCTTTAATTAGAATACTTTATTAATAGCTTGGAAAACATGCAGTGCAACAGGCGACCCACATTTCAGTACCTTTAATCGGAGGAGATACGACTTCCAAGGAGTATGCCATTACATTATGGCACGAGATACTCATAGGCGATTTACTGTGATTGCCAAAACTGAGAGGTGTGGACGTGCTTCATGCACAAGTACGGCCATAGTGACAGTGAAACATTTACACATCGTGATCAACCGTGGGGGAAGAATCGTCATCAATGGAATAACCAGGGGTTTGCCATTAAACTCGAAAGGTAAAATTAACCAATAGACCTTATCCATAATGACATATCAAGCTGTGACGCCTGCAGGGAAATCTGGTTGAAGTAGTCACATCGAAAAATTCAAACTTCATAATTACCCGCCGTGACTACTAAGACCAGAATCCCTGCAGGTGTAACGGCTTGTTACGTCATTATGCATAAGGTCTATTAGACATTTTTCCTAGAAAAGCATTGATAAATTGCAAGCTTGATTGAGCATTTCCAAAAACAAAGCATTAAAAATTAAACTGAGGTGAAAGCCAAGTAACATGACTAATGTACCCAGTTCAGTTCCTTATGTTTCGTGTCTGTTACTTCTCTTCTGCATGTCAGGCGCATCTGCATCCAGGATTTCCCAAAGCTATAGTAAAAATTTGGAAAATCCTGGATCCGCGCCTACAGAACAGAAGTAACAGGTACGAACAATGGCACTGAATTGGATTTGAGAGGCATAGTTCTATTGTGATATAGTTGTGTCTTCAGGTCTTTGAAAATTTTCTTTACCACGCATTCACACCATGGTCCGGTTGTTCAACAACTTCGTAAGCCAGGCTTTTCTGCCTACGCTTTGCGGCCCACGCTGCCGCAAAAACGCTGGTCATGTAACAGTGTAAAATCTCCCAAACTACCCAAGATTTTTAATTAGGCTTAATTCATCTCTAAGGGAGGGGTGGCAAAGTCAATATGCCACTTTTGACACTCTAAGTGGCTTTGTACTGCCGCAACGAGTGTAAAAACGTTAACCATGCAATAAGATCGTTTTTTACATTTTGCACGCAGCAAGCTAAACCAATCAAAAGGCATAAAATTACAGTAGCAGCATGTAAACTGAAGGAGTGAGAAAATAACATCCCATTCTGGCATTCTATAAGCAAGTTAATTGTATCTGTAGCTTCACTGGGACAGAAATTCAATGTCAACGAGTTCCCAATACAGTAAATGTACAAAGGTAGACGCGGTGCGTAGAATAGAACGAACTCGACGTAGGAATTTTGATAATTCATTAAGATTATAAAATTATATACACTCATGTTTGCGTCGAATAAGTCGACAGTATATTGAGAATATTGCAACTAAAATGTGACAAGCAGACAAACTATAGTAACCTATCAAATAAAATTAATATGAGTATAATAATACTTATGTAATACTATGTAATACTATATGTAATACTTATACTATATACTTATAATTGACATAAATGAGATATACTTATTAAACTAAGAATTAGCTTGCAATATTAACACTATAAACCGATTTTACACTTAGGACAGGTTTTGGTACGCGAGGATGTACATTACGTGCGTGCATTAGACAAATTAGTTACCAAGTGTACCGATTACAACAGATTCTTAATCATGCATGAAATAACGCGCAAATTATTAGTCCTTTTGTATGAAACATTTAGCGCAACAATCGCTAACTGAAACAACGTATTATCTATGTACTTACTTTGGTTTGTGGAAGCACCAACTTTAACTATAAATAAACAATATATAACACTACAAATAAACAATATATAACAACTGACTAATAATATTTAAAGGTAATACAACTTCTACAACGATCAGTGTTTGCAAAAATCCTAGGAAAGCGTAAAATCGAGAATTCGCTTTCTTAAGGACACAATCGACGCCATGAGAACCCTAAGCTAAATGTAAGAGAAAACATACTCCGAAAATAAACATCTAGATCTTGTAAACTCAAGATATGAGTTGTTAAAAAACAAGACACAATATTCAAGGTAATATTTCGACTCTAATTCAACAACCGTTCCAGCGGCGTGCAACGGAGGGGTATTAGAGTCTTACTTGAAGAAAGGCACGAGCATCTCTTTACATTTTTCAGGATTTAATTACATTCCCCGTTTTCTAGCATAATCAGAAAATCTCGTTAACAACCAATGGTAAAAGGCCAGGGGAGCAACGAGGAATTATCTCCATAGCCGTAGTATAATCCACGTATTTGATACGACCAAACCAGTCTTCGAGAAAGGAATTAACAAAACTTGCGAGGAGAAGACAGCCAAGTTTAGCGCCTAGAGGGAGACCACCCAGGGCCGTAGTTAGAAGCTTAACTGGGGGGGAGTATATTCATATATTCGTCTTATGCCCGACTGATTTGTTTTGTATGCTATTGTTCTAACGGTATTTAAACATGAATATATGAATTTACACCCCCCCCCTCCCAATCAAGCGGTCTAGCTACGGCCCTGAGACCACCATTAATTCTCTTCCACGATGACGTTTCACTACCAAGCTTTACTCATTGCTCTCTATCTGTTAAAAAGGTTTTAATCCTATGTAAAATAACTGGATGGACGTTTAGATTCCCGAGTTCAGCGATGATAACGTTAAGGTCAACCAGGTCAAAACCTTTTCTAAAATCAGCAAAAAACAAACTAGCTGAACAATTTCCCTTCTCAATACTGCTATGAATAACATGGAGCAAGTACTCTAATGCGTTAGTAGTAGACTTTTTAGGACGAGCAAATTGTTTCTTTTCCAATTCGTTTTCGACGGAATTTAAGTTAAGCTTTCCTTTAGTTTTGCAATTTACGCAGTAAGGAAATGGGTCTGAGGTCATCTTCAATTGATCTTGAAGGTTATATCTTTGGAATTAGAGCGATATGTGCTCTCTTTAAATCTTGAGGAAAAATACCCTGCACCATCGATGAATTATAGATATCGGATATCACCGGAGCCAACTCAAAAACCAAGGTCTTTAATAATTTAGTATAGGAAGAAAATCAGGACCAGGAGACTTGTAGGTTTTTATGGCTTGTAATAATGAATAATCGGAGTTAGTGTTAACAAGAAAGGAATCCGGAACGTCAATTACTTCAATCATACCAGCATTACTGAAGGGTGTAAAATAAGATGTTAAGCTAACCAAAAAAATCATTATATGTCTCTGCGAGATCTTTTCAGGTGAGGTAATCTTCGCGCAGCAGCTGGTGGTACCACGATTCACTCGACGAAAGAGAACCCAAAACTTTAATTTCGTTCCACCATCCTGCAGGATTTGAATTTTTAAGCTTCTCGACCGAGTGTTGGTAGAATTTAGCACATGCCGTTTTAATTTCCCTTTGAACTTTATTACGCCAGAATTGATAGGCTTGGTATCACTTTCCATACATTTGTAAGGCATGTTGGCGCTTCTTAATAGAAAGGTTCAAGGCAGATGACATACAGAATTTATAAAATTTCCTGACTTGTTGAAATTTAAGTTGAAAGAAGATATCGATAATGATTAAGTTAATGTTTCATTGAACTCCTTATACTTCATATCGCAGTCAGGAATTTCATAAACGTCACTCCAGTCGACACTCGTGAACCACTGCCCATAGGATCTTATACCATTATCGCGGTTAAACATTGTTGTTAAAACACGATTATTGTTAGGTTTTTGATCACGATGTAACTAAGTTTTCGACAAAATTGGTTCGTGGTCACTAGAGCCTAAAGATGGCAAATGTGAGGGATTGTAAGTTGGGTTTTTTCTATTGATCAAACACCAATCCAGTATGTTATCTAGCTTCTCTGGTTGGTACATTAATAATTAGATTTTAACCACATAATCTTTTAACACGCTTTTTGTAACCGGTTCTAGTCGGATTAAAATCTCCTGTTACCGTAACCAAAGGAGTAAAGCCTCAGGATGATTAGCAAGAAAATTATCGACGCTTACTTCAATATGGTTATTGTTGGAAACTCTCTCTCTCTATATATATATAAAATATATATATATATATATATATATATATATATATATATATATATATATACGTATATATAACTCAATACTGGTGATTCATCAACGAGATTAATCATTACTTTAATTAAGGGCGCTGATTTGCATGATTGACACATTTAGATTGTTATCAATAGGAGTTAAAAGATAAGGGATGCACTGAGTGCGTGAGAGAGAGTTGAGACTGCTGTTCTGAGAGGGGGTGTTTGTATAATATCGAGAATATAACCTTTAAAAACGAGTTAAACAACCGAATCCGCTTCGTCTACTTTATTTGCTTATACCTTTTAGTAAGGGTCGATTAACTAAATTATATAATTCGATGTTTTCGGGAGCACCAGACGCAAAAGTGTGGTAGATGACCGCAAAATGAAAAGCAGAAAATAGTTCTTGGAAGATAAATAGGCCTCACAGAAACCCATTAAGACTCCATTGATGGATTTTCAAACTCTTTAATTCTTCGGGCTTCAATAAAAGAATTTACGTATTCACAAACACCTCCACCCTTTAAAACAATCGATCGTTTCTGAAAATGACATAATTAGGAATGGAGACCGCCATATCTGGATTATTATCGGAAAGCCAGTTTCAGTAATGCAACATGCTACAGCATCGAATTCATCGATATTTTTTACCAGCGATCGTATATTTGTTACGAATAAGGAAGGTAAATAAATATTTTTGCGCAATTTAAAATCCATAGTGAAATTTTTACATTCGCGAGGTTACGGAGGGAGAGGGGGGTGTAATAGGAACTAGGTAGGGCGTTCGTCAAATCAGATGGGAAAGAAGGAACGTAATGGAAAGGAGGGGGACGAAGGGGACACGTTGGGATAATCATGGGTGGTGGTGGAAATGCGTACTGGAAGGGTCTGGTTTGCTGAAGTTTCCAAAACGAAAGTTGACCAGTGGGAGTAAAAAATTTGAAACAAAGGAAAACGGAGGTAAAGAATTATTAGGGTATGGCATATTTGGAGGTGGAGTTCTTTCGAGGGGAAAATACTGATGATTCTGACCATTTTCCTTAAATAATCTAGCAGGTTTGTGTAGAAAATCGTAAATATCACCCTTCAGGCAATAGCCTCTCTTAGGATCCACGGCTTAGGCAATAGGATCCACGCTTGCGAACAAGATCAAAGGTTTGCTTAAACTTAAAGTCCTAAATTAACTGAGACTAACGCTACATCATCGCATTCATTTAATTTCAAAGAAGTTGCAGCAGGAAATATGTGTACTGCAGGAACTGAAGAAATTAAGAACTAACAAAGGTACTGGTTTCTAATGCTTGGCCTTCACAGATGATGTCTCCTGTGTTACTAGAGGAGTTTATCCTCATCTCTTTGGTCTTCGATGCGTTCACTTTTATTTCTACTTTAGCAGCTTCGGTCTGCAGGGACACAAATTTCTGGCGTGCATGGGTGACCTTTGACTGAGTAATACTAGGTTATCAGCAATCCCTGGATTTTCTAACTTCTTATACATGCATGGCCCCATGCATGGTGAGCACCGTGTCATTCTTGTCTTTGACTGGTTTACTTGGATTATTCATCCGCTCACAAAGTGCTTTTGTTGTATCATACACTTTCTTCATATCGTTCATTTCTCCTGCCTTCTCTGCTTCCCGGGCTATCCCATCTACCCTCTCTCTCTTATCTCTTGGACAGCTCCTTACTACTTCTTCTTGTAGTAGTCCTTTGATGCATTCAACTTCTGGCTTCTTGTCTTAGCGTTATCCACCGTTGCCTTAAGCATTCGTCTTTCCTCGCGACCAGATTCCAGTTCTTCTCGCTTATCCACTCCTTTCTTTCATGCTTAGTCCCGCCGAGTACTTCTTCGCAAGTGGTGGTGTATATGTCCTTTATTTGAGTCCAGGCTTGGTTTACATCATTGGCTAAGGTATCTTGCTCACTCAACGCTTCATAGTGGTTGGCCAGTTCTATATTCAAGGCATGCTTGACTTCTTGACTCCTCAGCTTTCTTGTAGAATACCTGTATCTTGTTTATCTTGTTTTCTTGATAGCTATAGTAAACACACCATCAGACGATTTTCATGTGATTTTGTGTAACTTCTTGTGGTGGAAAAGTGTTCCATCAATGACAAGGCCATTGGTTACGCAGAAATCACAGAACAGTTCTCCGTTTTCGTTGATTGAACCTAAGAAAAAATATTCTTAGGAAATGTTGCAGGATACGAGGATTTTGTTTTTTGGTGACTAAATAAAAGTATATCATCATTTTAAGTCCTTGTATACGATTCGTATGTTTGAAGATTTGAGTGAGAGTTGCCAATAAAAATAATACAGAATATTGTACATGCCGGGATGAAATTGGCGAACTTATTGGGATTGTACGTGGAATATTTTGTTTTGATTTTGTCTTTGCCCTTATTAAATTTTTTTTAAATTGAGTTATATATTGTCGTTGATTACAATAGAATTTCCACAGCGAAATAACTTTCAGACAATCAAAGTCTAAATTTAAATCAAGTTAAAACTAAATTTTGTAATAAATTACATAGCTATGTGTTTCATTAATGTTTACATATGAAAGTTTGCCTTATAATCATTACAAGTATTCTTATAACTATACGTATATTACTTGTTTTTCAATTTTTTCAGTAAAATTATATTTATCTTGTAATGTTGCCTTCATTAATGTCACACTGTTGCCCTTGTTTTCACAAAAATTATGAGTAAATATTAATACAAGCCTCGTTGGCTCATTAATATGGAAAGTTTGATACATTACGTCATTGTTTTCACTTTTCATATCGTTTACAAACTTACCCAGCAAAGCCACCCTCATATGCTCAGCGGTCAAGCATGTTCTAATTCTTGCGCTGTGGACTCGGGAAAGTGTTTTCCATTCTTCCGTCTTCGCTCAGTAGGCGAAAACGTCGGAAAACGTGTGGACAGTACGCGTAATCGTAAAAATATCAGTCTTGCGTTTTCTAATTCTTCCGGCATCGTGTGGACGGGGGCTTACTTGATACGTACACCAGAGTCATATGCATTATGGCTAATATTAAGGATATAATTATAAGCAATTATTGAATGAGGTTGAACATGATATGAAGAATTATCAAGCCGAAGTTTGTCATTATCAACCGAAGCCGAAGGCTGAGGTTGATAATGACAAAGTGAAACTTGATAATTCTTCATATCATGTGAGAACCGAATTTAATAAATGTTTTATTATTTATTTAAAAGAACGAACATGTACTCCTCAAAGTTGCCGAACCTTTCACTTGAGGAAAGCCATTGTGTTGATGTCTTCGCCATTCGTGTGACGTCAAACGTGGGATACGACTATTTATCACACTAAAAAAAGTCGTATCACACGTTATGACGTCACGCGTTGGATATGACGATTTCACACATGGCTATTAGCCAATCACAGACCGTGAATTCTTTTAAATAAATAATAATACACATTTAAACACAAACAGTCCGAAATATGAATAGACGGGTAATGAATCAAAAAGCAATCTTCGAAGACAAATTCATTCCTAAATATGACCAAAACCATGTTACTATGAATTTAGCGAGGCTATAGCTTGCGCCAATATGAAATTTAATTTTGTTTTATATTTAGGTGTGAACATCGTCAGATTCTCACGTGGCGCTAAAGTCAGTGTTCCAAGTTTGGGTTTGATCGTACGTTACGATGGCGTATATAACCTTTACATCCAAGTTTCAGCGGCATTAGGCAAGAGTGTAGAGGGTCTTTGCGGAAGTTATGACCCGCGGAAAGGTCTTAGAAAACCTCACAATCGAAGGCCTCGAAATATTCAAGATTTTGCTAACTCCTGGAGAACTGACAGTTCGTGCAGTGCTCCGAAACCTATGCCAAATCCTTGCCAAACCGCTAACAAACAAATAGCGCGAGACGCAAAAAAGCATTGTGCTTTACTGAAAGAGCATCCCTTTTCGACATGCCATAAGAAAGTGAAAGTTACCGCTGGTTTTATCCAGAATTGCGAGTATGATGCCTGTGGTTGCAAAGAAGAGTATCCTTCGGCGTGTGTATGTGAAGAATACGCTGCCTACGCCACCTCTTGTGGTTTTGCGGGAGTCAACATCCGATGGAAAAATCTTCCGAAATTCCGGCATTGCAGTAAGTTCAGGTTTTGTCATCGGCAACACTGTCTATAGGCAGCAAACAAGGTGGAGTTTTGTTTTAAACTAATTAATCAGCATATTTTTTTACGTTTTTATGAAAGCTAATCAGAATTCTATTTATAACACTTTGTGTAAAATTGTAAATCATACACCTTTTTACCGTAAGCAGTCAAAATTAAATATTTTATGCATTCTGATTGGGCTAAAGAATTGTAACAAAACTTGCTGGTTGGTCTAAAATGAAATTCCCTCTTGTTTAGGCAGCATGTATTGTTTTGGCAGGTTTTCAAATCTAGTGAACGTATAGCGCATTTGCAACAATAATTGACTTTGATAATAAACTATCCTGATAAATTGCGAGCTTATGATAGGTAAAAATAATAATGAAGATCTATTCAACCAGCTAATATGTAGTTTGAATATAGACGATTGTAAGAACATTAATCTTCGAAATCTGGTTTCACTTCAACACTGTGTTATTTTTCCAGTTTTCATAAAATCATATCACATATATTATAAGGACATCATTTTTGGCTACTCTTAATGGATCAGTTGCATAGTCGACCATCTTCGTAACAAAAAGGAAATAAATCAACACAGCTATATATAAAACAGGCATACTGCCTAACACTGTGGTTGCGGTTCGGTCGCAGTTCGGTTATTTGTGTACAGTTCTGTAAATTAAAAGTTAATCGATCATGCAAGTGGTCCATTATACGGAAGACAGCATTACAAGTACCAACAGGTTAGGGTTTATATAATCAATCTGATAATCAAACTATGCACTTGTTTTAATTTAGACTTTCCATGTTCCTCCGCTCCTTGCTTAAATGGTGGCACTTGTACGAACAGAGGAGGCGATCATTATAAATGTACATGTCCTAAAGGTTACCGCGGAGACAACTGCCAAATTGGAGGTAATTGCTATTCTGTGTATTTCAGTTTTTACTAATGGGATGTCCAAAGCCCAAATTTGAAATCAACGCATTTTTCATCACAAACTACAACTGCATGCAAATAGTTATATACGTGTGTAAAATATAATTCGTTCCATCGAATTCGATTCACTCTTTATCCGGCGATATTCAAGTTTGTAAATTGTGGCAGTTATTGCGCCACACCTCATGTCAATCAAATTTGTAGATGTACAAAATAAAAGCTTGTTGGCTTCAAAGCAGAGCTCGAATGTAATTGTCTAGACCGCTAGAAGTTTGCCGCAAGCGCTGAGGATACTAAATCACAAAGAATTTATACCACTACGCCCAAGCCGGATCACGCAACCCGCATGTATCAATATAACCAGTGAGCTGCACGTCAGCGTCTTCAAATAACTCCGCATCAAATGTGGTGTAACAACTGCCGAGAAAAAACAAAAGTTTGACGTTTCGACCTGGTATACCATAATATTAACACTCCTGATGTGTTAGTAGACACTTGTGCTATACATTTGCGAATGTATGTTTAAATCATTTTGTTGCGTGCATAATCTAGATGAGAATGCTGATGTAAAAATTTCTTCCATGTAGGTATGGAATAAACGAAATAGCATTTGAATTTTTTATCCGAAAAAAATTGTTTTCGGCATAATATTCCTTGAATTCGTTCAAACTTGATATATTATATCGACTGTCATGTGCAAATTGTTACCATCCATTTGTAAATTCTAATAATGTGTCGTTTTTGCTTTAGAAACAGGAAAGTGTAGTGCCACAGGTGACCCCCATTACACCACATTTGATGGTGAAAAATACGACTTTATGGGAAAATGTGAATATGTGCTGTCAAAGGACGTGAACAACCATTTCGCTGTCTTAACCAAGAACGAGCTCTGCAACAACAATCGTGTTAGCTGTGTCTACTCTGTTACTGTGAGAGTCGGAAAGTTAAGCATTAAAATAAACAGAGGAGGACACATCTTCGTATCAGGAGTTCGTAAATTGGCACCCTACTTCAAAAAAGGTAACAAGAATCCTAGCCCTGCCTAGAAATGAAGACGCGTGGATACATGGCACTTTGTTGTCTTTCTTGGTATCTCTGTACGCCAAGGCATCTTGCTGGAGAGAAAAAAATGAAAAAATAATTATAGCAGACAAAGTTTTTTACAAGCGAAATGGAACTCTTATTTTATTAGAGAATAAAGAATTCAGAATACGTTTACTTTCAGCCATAAATTATATCCCCACAAATATATTAAACTTTCGAACAGAGCAACATTTTGGTACACCTTATTTTATATTAGTATATATGAAAGGCATGCGGGTGACTGTGTTTTTCTAGTTTAACTTGTGAATGTCCTAAAACGATCTCATATGTATATTCTTTAGGTGTAGCGATATCGAAGCATGGTGCGAGAACCATTAAAATTCGAACAAATGTTGGTCTTTCAGTAGAATATGATGGCGTGTATAATGTTTTCGTGACAGTATCTACTCGATTCAAAGGAAAGACAGTGGGACTTTGCGGAAACTACAATGGTAATGCTAACGATGACTTCATAGATTTTCACTCCCGACGCAGCAGTAACATCCTTCAATTTGTCGATTCTTGGAAAGTAGACAAAAGTTGTGCTGATACCCAACCGCAACCAGACCCATGTGCTCTTGCAAGCCCCTTTGCCCTGAGAGCAAGGAACAAATGCAACTTACTAAAAGAAAAACCATTTCGACAATGCCACAATACGGTACGCGGGGTTTCACAATTCATTAGAGATTGCAAATTTGATGTTTGTGCTTGTAATAATCATCCAGCCTCATGCATGTGTGAATCATTTGCCGCGTATGCAACTTCGTGTTCCCAAGCTGGAGTTCCCATCACCTGGAGAAATCTTCCTCGATTTGCAGAGTGCAGTAAGTAATTTTACTTTAATCATCTATATCAATATAATTAATTATATATGCAGACTGCATGTAGATTTAAGTTTATACTTTTTGTATAGAATTAATGACAGTTCATCTCTTTGGGTTCTTACACGAGACAATCGTTTCCGTTCTCTTGTTGTTCGATTGATGTTATTTCTTTCAATAAGCCCGTCTTTACAATGGTAAAGTTACTGCCATAAAATTTAAAGTTGAAACTTTGCACTGGCAGATTCTATGTACGAGTTCGTCTACCTAATCAAAACTTGAAATGTGTCCCAGGGGCCGGTTGTATCAAGCCCGTTTAGCTTAAACGGTGGATAAGTCAAAATTAAATAACACTCTTACATCTCTCTTGAATGAGTGAACTTGAATATTATGCACTGAATATGTAGTTGTAAACAATATCTTTGTATTATGGTTAAAAACATTTAGTTTGCTTGTTGATTAAAACGATAAACTTGCTTTCTATTTTGAGCTTATCCACCGTTTAAGCTAAACGGGCTTGATACAACCGGCCCCAGGACAGTGTAAACTTGGTCTACATGGATTTTGATAGGATTTTTTCCAATTTCGTGGTACTGCCTGTCGTGAGCAAATTAAATAAAATCATTGCCAATTTTCTAATCTATTCTCGCACTTTTCCTTCGACTTTAAGGGGCGCCATGTGCATCCGGTCCATGTAGAAATGGAGCTACATGTATAAATCAAGGCAACGATTATGAATGCAGATGCGCCTCTGGGTACGGTGGAAGACAGTGTGAATCACGGAGTAAGTTTGTACGTTTAATGCAATGTACGCGTTGTTATGTTTCATGTAATTATGTATCCCCATTCAAAAATGTTTTCACTAATTCAATGAGAAAAACAGATTAGTATTATTATAAAATCATGTTTTTTCAAATGTTTTTACCAACTGCTTAATAACAGTGCGCGAGGACTTGCCCGTAGGAGGAGGTGTGTGGAAAAAATCCGAGATCCGCGGATATTTATAGGTTAGGACCGACATGCCATATTTATAGGTTAGGACCGAGATGCCGAGAGCCTAAAGGCCTAGCTCAAACTTAGCATTGCAGATTTTTCAACAGGATTCATCGAAATATTTAGGAAACTACCTATGAAAAGAACAGGCATAGGAGCTGCATGGGTTAGCCTTCTCCTTTTTGTTAGAAATTCATGACATAGTCCTCGGTATTCAAAAGTATCGCAACTCCCGTAGGCGGAGACAGGAAGACGATTTGAATTTTAGGTGGATTAAATCAATTGCTGCATGCTTTCCTATTAATTTTCAGGATGCGGATATTCTAGAAAATTGGGAATGGAAAGTAAAAAGATCACAGACTCACAAATAACGGCATCATCGGAATATAGTCACACCTACCGTGCTGCCAACGCTCGCATTAATATTGCTAAATATCACTATTCATGGTTATCAAAACATAATAACCATCAACAGTGGGTACAGGTTGACTTCAAATTCCGTGCAACAATTACCGATATTTTGACTCAAGGCCGTGGCAGACACAACCAGTTTGTGCGAAGCTACACTGTTTCCTACTCGAATGATCGTCTCAAATTTAAACCTTACCGAGTGGGCAATAAAGTTAAGGTATTATTATTTTTGATACGTCATATTTTGCAATGTTACATTTTCAATAGTAAATTATGGCAGGCAAGTTCATAGCCAGAAACTTCGGACACAATTATATAACATATTCTACTTCCTCCAAAATTTGCATATGTATGCACACTGTCAAACTATAACCTTGTGAGTTTATAGTAAACTGGGGCCGGTTGTATCAAGCCCGTTTAGCTTAAACGGTGGATAAGTCAAAATTAAATAACACTCTTACATCTCTCTTGAATGAGTGAACTTGAATATTATGCACTGAATATGTAGTTGTAAACAATATCTTTGTATTATGGTTAAAAACATTTAGTTTGCTTGTTGATTAAAACGATAAACTTGCTTTCTATTTTGAGCTTATCCACTGTTTAAGCTAAACGGGCTTCGGATACAACCGGCCCCTGTACAACAAAAAGTACAAAAACGCTAAAATATTGCTATTGGTAGGTCGGTTGTAATTTGCTTCGATTGCTAGTTGCACAACAAGTTACTCCATGCAATTATTTTAAGGTAGATTTTCAACAAAATTTTTTATCAGTATTCTGCCTGCATTTCCAAGCCAAAATTATAGCCGCGTTTATCACGTTGAATCACTTGAATGCCATGCAAAACGAGTTGATATAAAATAAACCTATACCAGCAAAACATTACCACAGGAACTTCGACACGCATGAATAACACGAAACAAACAGGGGCAAATTGTAAATATTCAATGATATTCTCAATTTTTTCGGAATTCAAGAATGCGCAATACAATTTATAGTTCAGCAATTGAAAGAAATAAGGACAAATATGCAAGTTATTTATGGCCATGGCATATCCAACGCAACAAACATTGATGAATAAACACTTTGTGTTTTTTCACGTCACAAGACAACTGTCGAAACTGCTCCATGGGTATTAATAATTTATCGGTATATACTATATTAAAAAAAACACTTCAATTTCCTGTATTTCCAGATATTTAAAGCTAACAATTACGACAGATGCATTGTTCGACGCTCAGTTAACCCCGTTATCGTCGCTCGGTACATCCGAATCCATCCTAAAACATGGCAGGGTCATATTGCTTTGCGACTTGAGTTCATGGGCTGCTTCCAAGGTAAATAAAATATATTAATTTTGAACATGTTATACAGATGAACTAGAAAACGAACTATCTTTCGCTTGGCAAGTTCGTCAAAACGGATGACCCGTCTCTAGTATAAATTGAACCGTTTCAAGCTTGAAACATGCACGTTTCATGCTTCTTTTCGATGAATATGGCAGTTATCATTCGTAAATTGGCGTTTTCTTTTGTTTGAATGTCATTACTTCATTAGTTCTACCCGGCTGTTTATCTAAGGCCTATATACAGGGTGTCTCAGAAAAAAGGAAAACGATTGAAATCACTCAAGAATGCTGTGTTCACGAATTTTAGCCCGTAGGGATTTAATGCAAAAATAAAATGCTAAATACGAAAAATTTGAAATTGTGAATATGATTAAATTTAGATTAGAGTGTTATTGCTTCGAAAGAAAATGGTACAGCTGACCGCGGAACAACGAGTGTTTATTGTGATATTATCCCAACAGAGTGCTTAGGCATTCAAACTCTAACAATAACATTGTTATGGGTGACTTCAATAGTTTTCGTCTTTTTTGAGACACCCTGTAGGTTAAATGTCGCATTTTGGGTGAAACACACACAAACTCTTATTCGAGTTAAAATGCCGTAATGAAATCTTAACGATGAGATTGAGGTCTTCAACAGAAGGACTTGGAGTGCATGTGAGTGACCTTTAAGAATACATGCGACTGTCTTCCATTGTCAATTATGGCTGAGACAACGAATGATACCAAGCTCATGATTATGAATAAAACTGTATCCTTGCTGCAATACGGAAGAAACATACTGGTTAAAAAAAGTTCGAAGATTATATAAATTGTTAAATCGAATATTTTGGATTCCAATATATTCTGCATGTAAACGCGCTATTTTTGAATTGTGACCACTTGAATAAATTAATTCTGCTAATTCTAAATTAGATTCTTCATTAATTAATTCTATTAGATTCTTCCGAAGAACTGACGACTTCAATCGTCTTTTCAAAAGTTGACTGTATACTTCTCAAATATTGAACACAATCTTTTTAGATCAACCATGCGCAAATGAACCATGCCAACATGGAGGACATTGTACTAATGTCGGTGGAAGAGCCGTTTGCACTTGTCTTAACGGATATTACGGGTATAGATGTAGACAAGAAGGTACATCAGATGGAATCATATTAGGCCTGACATACTTAGACGTATTGGCCAATTCTCTAATTTTTATACAATTATCAGTAAAACTTCTAGCGCCGGTTGTACGAAGCTGGATAGTTGTAATCAGCGAGAGTGAAAGACGATCCAAAACTTGAGAACACTAAGGTTTATACATACTGAAGTTATATCGAAAAACGAATAAATTCATAGGGATTGAAAAAAAACATTATCATGCAGTGGATGACGATATCAAGCTATCGTATACAACCGGCCCTGCACCTTTCTGAACTTAGGGACGAACTTAGCTGTTAATGATTCAGGCGTAACTGAGACCCCGCCGTCTTTGGGGCCCCCAAATGTTTACTGAATTAAGCTCTTCATGCAGTATAGTTAGAAACATTAAAAAACTGGTAATTGAATAATTTATTTTAAGGATATTATTATTTTCTTAATGTTTGTGTTAGTTTATTAGTATTGCAAGCTTATAATTCTACTTTAATGTTATATTAAGCAATGAGCAACAAAAGTAATATTTCAAAACGCTATCATTATACACTGGCGGTCAAAAAGAACTGCTCAAATGTTGCTATTATCGTATGTAACATGAATCATAACAATCTATCTTTTATTGTACACTAGGGGTCAAAAAGAACTGTTTAGATACAAATTCATAAATAGGAAGCGAATATAGGAGAGAGCTACATAGGCATTTTGGATAATTCTCTTATTCCAAGCAATATTTCAATAATGTAATGCAACCTGCCACCCTTCCAAGATATAGTCAAACAATGGTTTCAGAAAGAGGGGGTGACAGAAATGGATTGGCCTGCACAGTCAAAAAACCTTAACCCTATTGAAAATCTGTGGGACAATGTCAAGGGGATGGTGCAAGAAAGGAATTCATTCATAAACCGTTCATGATTTATGCGTTGCTGTAAAGACTGTTTCTAGGATGAATTTCTTTTGACCGTTAAGATTACCACCTTAACAGAAAATATGACCACGCCGGTGTAAGGCCGTAATCAATTATAAGGCCAAAGGAGGGTCAACAAAATATTTATATTTCATATAGCTTAGCATGTAAACTAGTCTATATTTACTCAAGACATATACATTGTTAAAGGAACAGTTACGTTCATCTGAGAGCAATTTAACTTGTTTTGAGCAATTCTTTTTGACCGCCAGTGTATTTTCATGCGTGCAGACGTAAAAAAGTAGTGACGTCGAGACGTATACATGTTGGCCCAGATTTGTTTCAAAACGAAGCCTACAATTGTCAATCCGTCTTGTATGAGCTGTGCTCAGTTCATTTGCATGAAATGCACTAATACAAAATTCTCTCAATAAATCAACAACATCAAAAATGAACTATGACTTTGACAAAGTTTTGCAGTAAAAAAAATATCCATATGACTTGTTTCCTAACATTGTTTTATAACATTTCAATCAGAATGCAAGAAGCCGGCACGTCTTGGTATGGAAAATGGCAAAATTTTGGACACGCAAATAACAGCTTCATCATCATTACCACATTACGGGGTAGAGAATGCCAGACTGAACCTCAATGCTCGAGGAAACCGATATGGTGCTTGGCGTCCAAGAACCACTACAAGAGAATGGCTGCAAGTAAATTTCGGCGGTCGAGCTATTGTGACTGAAATCTTAACGCAAGGTCGCAGCAATGCCAACTGGTTTGTTACAATCTATTACGTTTCTTACAGCAAAGACGGCATAAGTTTCACCATCTACCATGAGAAAGGGCGTAAAAAGGTAAAAAAATTTATGAATATCATTTTAACTTCTTTTTAGCAATAGCCAGAACACAGCCCTTCCTTTCGCTCTCGTTAAAATGGCTTCTTCAGTGGAACTAATGCTAGGCAAGAATATTTAGGTCCTTTCAAAAATGAAATATCTGAAAATGAAATGAAAAATCAAAAATAAAATACTATAATACACAATGGTATGCAAATTTAGACTAATAATCTTAAGACTATATATATGTAAATATATATATATATTTATATATATATATATATATATATATATATATATATATATATATATATATATATATACATTATAATATATATATATATATATATATATAATATATATATATATATATATATTATATTATATATATATATATATATATAATATATATATATATATATTATATATAATATATATAATATATATATATATATATAAATAATACCCATTTGCAAAAACGTTGGCCGCAGATACATAGATAGATAGATACTCGAAGTCTAATTAGAATTGCATATGTTGTGTACATATATATATATATATATATATATATATATATATATATATATATATATATATATATATATATATATATATAAATATATATATATATATGTATAAATATATATTCATCTGTTGCACTATCCCTTTGATATTCCCTAACAGATTTTCAATAGGGTGAAGGTCTTAGACTGTGCAGGCAAGTCCGTTTCTGTCACTCCCACCGCTTTCATGGCAAACACTCAATTGTGTTTTTCATCCTTAGATGTTTAAAGGAAATAGACATCATCGCCTCATTGCTCGTCAAAGAGTTTCTCCAGCCATCGTCACCCAGTACATACGCATCCACCCGGTGCACTATTCAAGCGCCATTACTTTGAGGGTTGATTTTTCCGGCTGCCTTAAAGGTTCGTGTATTGACATATATTAGCATAATTACAAAAGCATATATTGAAAATTCTGGCCACTGATTAGTCGAGCAACCTCGGATTATTAAGATACAATCACCGAAAAGGATTTTTATAGGCTGTTTACATGAGCCTTCACAGTGAGGACTGCAGCCCTACCTGCATGTGGGGCTATTTTTCACCTCTCTTTACATGCAAAATTCTAGCCCCACAACTAGAGCTGAACCTGGAACCTTATTATTATTAATATTAATATTATTATTATTAGAAATTTATTTAAACACGGTAGCCCTTCAGCCGGGGCCGTTTATACTAATTATAATACATTAGTATATGTAATAATAAATGATAATAATAAATATAAATAAATAATAATAATAATAATAAACTTTATTTAAAGAAGGTATATAGTACATACATATAGTACATGCACACCAGTTTAGCCTATGCTAATCTTCCACTAGGCCTTCTATATAGAAGACGATTACAAACATATGACATATTATGTATACAACATGCTTTTACACCACAAAAATACAAACAGGAAAATTACGAATTACTATTGACAAACATTTCGAAGAAAAAGTTAAATGTTTCATGCTTGAAACATCTGATTGTGCTGGCCATCTTGACTTTCCTTGGCAACATGTTGTAGACAGCTGACCCATTGTACTGCAGCCCACTTCTGGTACATGCTAGCTTGAAATTTGGAATCCAGAGGTTCATGTTGGTTGAATTTCTCGTAGTTTGTTGTGATACAGCTGCCAATGGTGTAAACAAATAAATAAATAAATAAATAATGAATATAAATCAGGAAATAATAAATGATATTAACAGATAATAAATATGTATATGATTTTCATAGAGTGGCCATGTCAACCAAGACCGTGTCATAATGGTGGCACATGTTTTGATTTCAATGCTGATTATCGCTGTTCTTGTGCTAATGGATGGGCAGGAAGAAACTGTGATGTTAAAATCGGTAAGAAAACATGAGCAATTGCTTTTCTTGGCAATTACTTTATTTAAGATAAACTGTAGGTGTTGTTATCGTGCATACCCGCAACATTCACCTATAGCTATAAGAATATCGTGAAAATTTCGTTTTATTTTTTTATTTTAACCCAAAGCAAGTTATAAACCTACTTAATGCACTCTGCGATTTAAGCTCACAGAGTTACAATATATATATATATACACATGTACTATAATTATACTCATGCAACACGTATTCTTAACATATTCAACTTCCATTTATTCTTTGTAGCAAATTGCCGATCCGAGCATTAAGGAAACTGTCATATTTCAAGCAAGCATTAAAAGTAGACACAATAGAGTTATAATACATATATTAGCAGAAAAATAGCTTAATCTGGCGTATTTCTTTGAGATCAAAGTTGTAAGCAACTTATTCAATAAAATCCCGATTGTAGTCATTGACATCTCGTACGGATTGCTTGTCTGTGCTTTTCTTTGTTTTGTCCAGATTTATATGAAAAAGAAAATACTTGCCGTAAATTAAATCTGAAAGTATAACCGATCATTAGTCCAACGAAAGGTTGCGATACCCCACGTAGACGTAGTTCCATCGCTAGTTTTTTTGCTATTCCGTATTCTGTCGCCGATTGTTGTTCACCTAACGCCAATAATTAACAAAAAGGAATTTCGTTCTAAAACAATCAGCAATCAGCAAATTTGTTTACATTTTGACTCCATAAACCAATCAGTAAAATTTGTTTGTTCCCACCAATGATATTTTTGAACAATACATGTACATTTACAAAGTGGATACAATATATTACAACTCAAGCATCATGACCTTTCACATTTCTCTTCTGTTTTTCTATTTTAACTTTTTATACTTAACATTTTTATTAAGTTACTTAAGGTGGCTCCCTAGAAATTGGTAAAAATTCTAGATAGCTGGTTTGTTGTACCGAATTACTGCATGAACACCATTATCGTCGACTAAAGATGAATAAAGTTGAAAAAATGAGGTTCAACATGGCCGCTAATCATAATTTAATTGAAATAGTTGATGAATCTTTTGGTTAATTTCTTATTTTTTTGCGATTGCTACAAGTATTTAGTAATAAATAGTAGTTTTTAATTGCATAAAACCAGGTTTTCACACTTTAATTTTTTTGTAACTTTTTCTTAAACTTGTCCTGTCAATTACTAACCATCCGGCAAAACGTTCAGTCGAAAAAGAAGACATTTCATCGAAAAGTTTGTAAAATAATCGTAATTTAATGATAGTTGGTGGCCATATTGAGTCGTCATTGTTGCCATGCCATGTTTCGTTTGTTTTGTTTTTTTTTTTATTATTTTTCGTCATCGCAAACGTGTTTTGGCGCGAAATATACTAATATTTGAAAAGTATATGTTACCGTATTATCTACGTCACGGTTTTGTCTCCCAAGAGTCGTGGTGCACAGCTCGAAATCTCTGACTTATTTACCCATGTGCGATTTGATTTCCAAAGCATTGCCAAAACAACAGAGCTAGTGCCGAGCAAGAAGTCCAGCTAATGACTGGAACGAAAAAACCCTAAAGTATTAAATCGTTTGGGCTTGACCGGTGGTAAAAACAAGCATTACGAAGCAAAGAAAGGCTTTTCTGTCTCAGGTGCCCGGGCAAAGATGATCACACTGCAGATAAGTGTGGAGTAATCTCGCTGAATTGTAGAAAATGCGTAAAACGGCGACTCCTTGCCCGCGTTTGCCGCTCAAATTCGATTTTTGACTTTGATTGACTTTGATTCAGGTCGACGCCTGAACAGCAAAGATGGTTGTGTGCAAGTAGTCCCATAAACAGGCAAAAAGTTAAAATTGTAGTGGACACTGGAAGCAAGCAGAACATTTTATCATCCAGACTTCACTGACAACGCTCTGTTTAGGGATTGTGAGCTGAAACCAACGAAGAAGAAGTTCATCGCTTATGGCAGCAAACTCTATTGAACTGTTTGGGCTTTTTTCAAGCTTCAATGAAATCAGGTATAAGCAATTACGTAAATGCTAGAATATATTATGTTATTGAGGGTGAGGCCAAGTCATTGTTTGACAGAGAATCTAGTTTAGGATTAATATTGTTATTGCATGTCGTTAATTTTCGTTTTATTACTTTCTGCGACTACTTGTGTAGTTGAATGCACCCAGTTTAGTGTTTCATTGTGTATCATTGTCAACTAGATAGTTAGGGAGCTTAGCACAGGAATTGTGCAAATCGTGATACCAGCATAAAATTGGCAGAGATTGGCAATTTGATACGCTGAAAAAGATGCAAAATTGACCCAAGCTCATAAGCGTCTACTTTCTCCATTTTGGGATTGGGTACTAACCACCAGGCTGCCAAAATTCTTGTTGTAACAAAATTGTTGTAAATCGTGATAGCAACCGGCTTGAAATGTTATATAGTGAGGTAGTTTCATACACCGAAAAAGATAGAGTACGCTCTAAGTCTGTGGTCTAAGCCCAATGACACTTCTTTTGGATTGAATACTAGGCCCCAGTGCCCGGAAACACATCATGAAATAACATTGTTGCAAATGGTTATACCAACATAAAACATGGTAGAGTTAGCTGCAATAGGTTGTCTAATATGAGTTGGAATTTTAATAATGTTTCTCTGATATAAGAAGTTCATTGCCTATGAGCAGCAAACGCCATTGAACTGCTTGGGCTGTTTTTCAATGAAATGAAATACTAGAATATATACCACTTATTAACCGAATTTGAGGTCCATACTAGAAAAATATCAGGACCGAGGTCTTGACAGTACGGACCGATCGCGAGCGATAGCGAGGTCCGTACATAAAAGACCGAGGTCTGATATTTTTCCAGTACGGATCGAGCGTATTCGGTTAATAAGGGATTTATTATATGGCATACAGTATTTAGTTTATTTATCTATACAATGTGCTGCAGCATTCTTGCCAGCTTTTTCGCCAGCCAGTCGCCAAGCAAGCACTGAGGTGGCTTCCAAAACTTTGTTTTTTACTCGTTAAATAAGAAGGATACAGTAATATGAACAAAAATCAAAGATGAATAAATATAATATTCACATGTACCAAATAATGCTCTTCTTCGTCCATTCTCCCCCGATATTTTTCGTGTCAAACATAAAAGTGCAAGCTTGTTTTTGTTCAAAAATATGAGAGTTGGACCGTTACTACGGCAACGGTCTAATACTGGGGGATTCCAGACCGGCAAGGAACCAATCAGCGCGCGCCATTTAGTCACAAGACCACGTGCCATATAATAAATCATGTTATTGAGGGTGAGGCCGAGTCATTGCTTGGCAGGGAATCTAGTTTCAATCTTGAAACAACTAAACGTTAATTAAAAGTTAAAGTCGAGTTTAGTAATAATAATTATAACCAAAAGGAAAATATGTACCCTAGTGAAAAATGTAAAAATGAAAATATCGAGTCACTGTTCCATGAATTTAGTGATATATTTCAAGATGTTTGGTATAAGGTCACGATTATGAGCATACTATCAAGTTTGCCCCAGGGGTCGTGTCTGTAAGCCAAACTAGCTTAGAAGATTTCTGTTAAATCAAATTGAAGCAGTAAAGGCTGTTTTCCACTTACGCGTTTTTCATACGCATGTACACGTACGTCTAAATCCTTATATACATGTTACCTTTGAAAAAACTAAGTGAATAAATCGAAAAAATCTAATTTCCTGCATATTTTAGTATGCATTAGTTGACCAAGATGTTAAATAATAAAAATTTAAAACATTTAAAATTTTCCGTATGTTAACGTGCGTATAACATACGCGTAAGTGGAAACAGCCTTAAACAAGGAAATTGATAAAATGTTAGTGTAGGTTTGAAATCCTAACTTTATGGTTATTATTGTCATTGAATGTCGTTAATTTCCGTTTTATTAACTCCTGCGACTACACGTGCAGCAGCACCCAGTTTAGTGTTTCATTGTGTATCATTCTCAACTAGAGTAAGGTGTCTATTCTACAATTGGATACTTACATCCACGTTTGAACACTATCCACGGTATTCGCCAGCAGTTTGGTGTGTGCGCCAACTAAAGTAAGACTCTTTCTTTGTGTTATTATAACTAGTAAACATAGCTACGTTGGTTGATTCATTCGGTATTTAGTGCAAGCCTGTTTATACAGTATGTAATTTGTCCAGATTGCATGACTAAGTGATAATTCTTGCATTTTTAGTTCGAACGTTACCCACTATATTTCTCTAATGAGCCGCGATCACTCTATCAAACATTCCGTTACCCAAGCGATCAGTTACCCTATCTTCAGCCGCACCGTATAATAATCTTCATACATTTTCCGCGCACGTGTCATTTTACCATCGTGCCAGTTTAGCGAACTTAGTGGAGTTTAATTTATTGCGTTAACGGCACACCAAAGCAGCATAGCTCTTAGAGGAATTTAGGAGTTACAATTAGCAGATATTATAGAAGAAGCGCCAGTTAGTCAGTGGGTATCTAATATTGTTGTAGTCCCAAGTAAAATGGAGTTATCCGAGTGTGCTGCGATTATAGACAAAGCCATAATTAGCGAACGCTACATATATATACCTAAGGTAGAAGACATATTAAACGCAAACACGGTACGTTGCTAAAACGGATTTTTTTCAACTGAGTTTAGCCGAGGAATCTAGATATGTTAAAACTTTTATAACCTTAGGGGGGTGCTATAAGCCTCGTACCCAAGCGATTTATTGGAAAACATAAAGGCTGCATTCAACGTGATATATAGAGATCTGTGGCTAAAATGTGCGAGCGCGGAGGGGCGCTATTTTTGCGTCTTGATATTTTTAAACCAAATATAACTTTTCAATAGCTTTAATTTGACACACAGCCTAACGTCTGGCGTCAAGTATTTCGCCTAAAAACTCAGAAAAGCTATGTTGGCTTCAAGCTGAGAAGGGATGTTTGTCACGAGTTATCGTTCCAGTTGTATAGAGTTCAGTGGCATGAACAGTGATTAAACACGTGATCACGAATATTCCTGTGCGCGCTGTCCGCAACATATGCAGAATGCCACATAAATGTCCCATTTTTGATAGCTCTCATTTTGTTTATTTGCAATAAATACCGATGGAAAGTAATAAAAATCTATTGTTTTTAAAAAGAAAACAATATTTTCGAAAAAACTAGTCCAAAACATTATATTTTAACCGACAGATGGTCTGGCTGTCTTCGGATTTAGATGTGGAAATTCGGCTTTCTTGAACGGTAATATACATGTTTATTTTGCGTTTTTTATCTTTTGCATGTTGTATGACGTTATTTTTAAATAGGTTATGAAATTATAATGAAGAAAGATGGAAGGAAATGGCCTCTTTAGGAACTCAAGAGTTAAAACTATTAAATTGTGACGACTGCTTATACATGGCTACTAAATAACAGGATTTTAATAGCTGATGGACATTGGACACTGGGTATGATTGTTCACCTTGTTGTTAACTGCTTTTATATTTACCATTTTTTTTCCAATAAAATTGTACCACTACTTTTGTAGATAATTTCAGCTTCTTATAGTTTGTTATTTACTTTTTGTGGCAGTGAATGCGTTGAGAATTAGTATTTCATATTTAATTTATGCAAGCTCACAAATTTGTAGGTTGATATATAAAGTTAAAATACATGTATTATACATGGGTATTTCAGCATGCTGGTATTTCACTGCTGGTAAATAATACAGTGAGATAAGAATTATATATAGATTATGTGTAGTACAAATTGATGCTAGTCTTTCACTTAGATTTCCTACTTTAGAATTTGACCTGAGTTATGATAGTCTATAGAGCAAATTAATGAGTTAAGTGATATTAAAAATAGATTGCCATTAGATTGCCGTTATTACTCTAATATTTGAAGTAAAAACTTATAAAACCCTCATTGATGTTTACAACACTCAATGGGTTGTCGAGTTTAGATTGGAAGGGTGCAAATTTTATGTATCAGTTGAAATTTGGGGAATGATACAGAATATATGCAGCAGTTGGAAGTTAATTGCCTTTTCAAAGACTCTGACAATCTTGGTGCCACATTATCATCTCATGGCAGTTTTAGGGCAGATATACATTCTAAAATCCTTGAAAATGGACTAGTGCTTGACTGCTTGTACCCTATACGAAACTACCCTGCAACCATTTCTGAAACAATGAAGACTAGATTATACAATTTTTCAATTTTAGATGATGCTGTAGCATTATTGGTTTGGTATTTACATATGCAACAAAATACCACAATGTGTGCTTCTACTTTGAAGGTACTGGTAATTTAAACATACTGAGCTGTGTTTCTGTTGTACATTTGTAAATTGACAGTGGTAGTTTAAAACAATAAATTTGAAGAGTAAAGTAGGTTACCATCATATACTGAGTGCAGTATTATTATTATTAATAATAATGTATATTATATCATTACTCTTCAGAATATGATGCCGTAATTTATTAACCCATGGAAAGAGCAGCCCTCCAATTTCCATTCAACACAGAAGAAGTTTTACATCTTTAGCTGTGAGACTATGCAAAGACAGGGATGGTATTACTACAAGCAAAGGTTTGAACAAAGTTTGAAATAAGATTTTTGCCACTCTTCTGATAGTTACTGTACATGGCAATTCTCAATATATTGTGTGTGTTTCAACTTTCAACAAAGGTTAATGTTCTTATGTTGAAACTTTGATTTCATTTTTGAGCAACTTTAGCTTCATCCTTCCTGTAATACCTGGTGTTGTGCCGTACCGTCTTTTATTGTACCGGTACTGTGTTGTACTGAAGTTTCCTCTGCTGTCCTCTTGTGTATAGTACTGTCTTCTGTATTGCCATGTCTTCCAATGTAGTAATTATCTATTAAATAATACCTGTTGCTAAGTAATTTAGTAATTTAATAGCTTCACTGTCAAACAATGTGGTAGGATACCTGCAACTGCATCAATTAATTACTGCATGCCCAAGTAAGCACTTCGCAAGCATATATAATCATTGGCATAACTAAAACGATATATACAGTGGTTATGCCCCTGTATATGATTATAACATTGCTAAAGCAAGATTTTAATAAGATCTTGCTATAGACGATCTTTCCATAGAAAGATCTTCATTGCCAAGTCTTGAAAAACCATAAGACCCAAATTTATGAAATATTAAGAGAATCTTGCAAAATCGTTAAAAAATATTGATAAACATTAGCAATTGCATTTGGTATGTATGGTAAAATAGAAGGATCTATACTATGATCTTCAGCCATTTTATATCATACCTATTAATCTGTTATGTGGAAAGCTGGTCGAAATGCAAAATGAACCTAATGGGCTTTAAATTATTCTCGGTTTTTTATGTCACTCTCGAAAATTCTGTTTTGTAAAATGGATTTACAAAATTTTTTCCTTCGAATGAAAAGGACCTTCTCATCTTGAATACTTGTGTACTAGAAATACATGCATACCACAACACCTGGCTATCTCATATCAAGCACAAAATTTTCTCACCTAAATTTAACTCCAATTGGTCTATACCAATAACTATATAATATTTCTGTCATTCGGTACATCAGATAAGATAAGATGAGATTTAATAAAACATCATCGTATATAAATGAATTACAATGTGTTTTACAAATATTAAAAGTTAAAATATATATAATTATTTAACTATTTTACAAAATAGCTTGAAGTTTTTATTACAGGTTAAAATTACTTTTTAATGTGCAAATCATGCTATAAAATTGTTCAATGTTCCTTAAGTTATATCGGTGTTCGTTTTCATAGGTGACGCGATAAGCAGCCGTCTGACGCTACATATATATTTTCTTCTTCGTCGGATATCAAGTCTAGGGAATTACAGCCAATTCTCGCGCTTCACTGTAGGATCGATAGTGATAGGCGGTACTGTAGGGCGTACTGTAGTTAGAGACCCTTGTGGCGTAAGTAAATGTTTAAAATCCGGCCAAGTTTGAAACCGTCAGAACAATAAAAAATCTTCAAATATAAAGACTAAACATCAAATGTTTTATTTCGGATGTTTTATTTATATTGTGATTGCAGTCGACTCAAATTTTTTGTTGTGACAACCGGTTTACAAAAATTAGACTTTCAAAAACACTTTGAAATTAAAGCGATGTTGTGATAGCTTTTCGCATATGGTTACAGTATGTCTTTCCAAAATCCAAATCTACATACTAAACTCAAAATTATACAAAATAAACTGCATTCTCACAGGGCAGCGAATACGAAAACAAAGTAAACACCTATCCTTTTAAAACACTTATACCGCTTTTGGTGTCTTATGTACGTTCGGCAGTAATTTAACTTTTTTTATTTGCTGTGGGGAAATGTCAAGCAGTAATGGGCCAACTGGACAATATTTATACTGTACTACCAATGTGATAAAACAATGAGTTGGCCATGAAAAGCTACATACCTCAAAAGGTCAGCAGTTAAGTTGTCTTCAGGCTCCCAGCAATTGTCGAAAGCACTATAGCCTTTCCATTTCACCAAGTATTCGACCTAATATTAAATAATAACAAAGAATATAGTTATTCAGTGACTAATGGTTCAATAGCTGAACTCATTATAATGCGTCATGCTCAGGGCAAAAAAACACACGATAAACTTACCGTATTTCGCACAGTCCTCTTTGAAACAAGCCTTTCAACGGCGTAGAATTGAGTAGACGCCTTGCGTTTAAGGCCGCGCGTTTTCTGTCCTCCCCACAAAAGGTCCCCAGACGATGCATTGTGCATTTGCTTGTACACTCCTTCCATATTGCTATGCCTATGATCTCTCAATCCACTAGCCATTTCTCACAATTGACAATTTAAAAGTCAAAATTTGATTTATTGTTCGTATTGTAAAATTATGAATAGGAAATCCCGAGCCCGTGCGCCATGCAGCTGGTTATTTGCGCCCGCACATCGAACTGCTGACTGTCACAGATTTCTGGCCATGTCCTACCACTCCGTACTCCATAAGTGCATAACAAAAATAACATACAATGTTTTGAATTGTTCTCACCCCAAATTAAGGGTAGTTATTAAAACAATAATTGTGAAGCTTAATGCATCATATTTTGCACAATGGGTAATACTTTCCATTGACTTTGGAAATATGAGCACAGTATGGTACATGTTCACAGCTGTTACGTTTAGCCATGCATGTCTTGATAGTATGCCCTAACCCTTGACAATTTGAGCAGGAATAGTTTCTCTTCTTCCTTTCACAGCCACCTGCCTCCAAGTACTGGACTCTCTTTCTTTTCAGGAATTGTTGTTTAATAGCTGAAAGACCTCTATGATTTGTAGCCCGAAAGAAGTTTTTGGAATTAATATCGTTATATTTTTCCATTCCCTGCTGGGTAAAATATTCAATATTTCCATATAGTGAAAGAAACTCAGGGACATGAGCATGCAAAGCGTGCATATAACGCGTCACATCTTTTGTTTGGTACACTTCAAGGAACATTTTTAGCCAACTGGTCACTTTCATCCTGATTCGATCAACTTCATCAAATTTTATGTCCCGTTTAAGGGCTTTTATAATGCAACTAAAATCATCCGTTCACCAGCCATTTTTAGTTGCCTGACATTTTCCAGTAAACTTTCTTTGAAAGATTAGTAGATTGATTAAGTTATCACATACTCTAAGGAATAGATGCAATGGATCATTGATTACATTATCCAGTGGGATTGATGGGAATAGTGGAGAATTTTTTATATTTTGCTTTGAACCCTGAACTTTTTAGAAATCGGCTGTTGGATTTCCTCAATGGTCCTAGCACCTTTGGAAAGATCTATCAGTGACCAGGTTTTTGTACCATCATAGTGGTTATAGAGGGGACATTTACACCAAATACATGGTGTTGTAGCATGAGCAGCACCAAAACCACAAATGCAGGCCAGGAACTTCTAATCCCCACCAAGAAACCATTCAATTTGGAAAACTTCTTGCCCAACTGAAATGTGTTTTAGTTTTTCAACTTCATCTCGGATATATTCAGATTTTGATACTTCTCAGGAATCTTCACTACTGCAATTACATGGTTACCTTCTGCTGACATTGCTTGTGAACCTTCCTCCAGAATTGTAATCGTTACATTTATAACATGCAAATGTTTTCCAATGTTGGTGCCATCACCAGACAACTTCACCCTTAATTTATTACCATTTATTTTACCATTTTGAACCAAGACCTTTCGTCTTATCTCAAGTCTAGATTGAATACTTTGTTGAACACCAATTGTATCACCAGGTGTTTTGGACAAGTTCCACTTCTTGTTCAGTTCCTGAATTGAGTTCCTGAGTTCCTGAATTAAGTTCCTGCATCCTTAATTTTGTACGATCTTGGCATGTCTTTACAAACCATTGAAAGTTCATGGTAAGCCTGATTGGAGATGCCAAACCTGTCTTTGGTGTACAGAAGAGTCTGAATCTTCTTCAGGCTGGGTTAATTTAATTTCTGGATCTATCAATTGAAAAACTTGATACTGTCCTATTGCTGTGTTGAAAACGTTTACCTCAGTTGGTACAAAGTCATACAAACCAAGAAATAACAAACTTTCATGACAATCAGCAGTGAGCTGCTTGCATATCCTTTCTTGATGCCTTCTTGTGTACATGTCATATTTTTCCCCATTATTCGGTCCCCTTGATCCACTTTGTTTTCTTTGATTTTTTATTAATTTCTGGCATATATTTTTGAATTTCGTTTTGTATGACTAGGCAGATTCATGTTCCTTCTGAACTTCAGCTTCTAATTTTGCCGCCTTAGCAGACATTTGATTAAGATCGGTCTCAAGATCGTTTTTGTGCGTATAGTTGTACATTTTCTATCTTTGTCTAAATGTTATTCACCTCACTGTAATACAGTCTTAATTTCCATACAGAAAGCTTTCCATTGGTCCAATTCTCCGATAATTTCTTCTTCTGATTTCCTCCTTTCGCTTTTAACATAGCCTGGTCCAGTCTCCAAATTTTACTTCTAAACTGGGTTACAATTCTCTCAATGATATTAACTGATCCAACATTATATCGACTAAATATCTGTTCTATCTCTTCAATAAGGGCAACAGTATTACTGCAAGACCCTTTCTCCTCATTCTTCTTTAACGTAGCTTTAAACAAATCGTTCAGTAGCCGGCTGCAAATAATTATTAAATAGCAAACTGCTATACTGTGTTGGAAAAACAGCAAGAGAAATAAATCGAATATTTTTCAGTAGGCTTTATTTATTGCTTTCACATGCAACACTACAAAATAGTACATGTTATGCAAAATTATATATACTTTTTTTACTTATTATAATAATAATATAAATACTAATAGCTGTTTGTACCTATTTATGTTAATTTCAAAGAATGGATTCCCACTTCCTGAGTTTTTTTCAGCGTTTTTAAAAATCTATCTATTCCAAATGAAAGACAGCTATCTTAAATGTATAGAACCGCGCGAACATTTTAGGAAAGTCTAAACTTACGCTAGAAAAAGACAATTTAATGCAAAAGAAGCACTATTTTCACGGGAATTTGTATTATGAAATCACAGGGTGACGCGACACCTGATACTTGTTCATCTTTTGTCGGTGCATTTTTTGCCATGCTCAGGCACGGGATCTTCGTGGCGAGAAATGACACTTTGGTTTCCATTACAGTATGTCCAAACTCTCAGCTGCCCCTTTCCATTTGCCTTTTTTCACTCTCAGATGTCATTGGCATATGTTCAGTCTCATATGTTCAGGTATGAACTGGCTTGACATTTACATTTACAGGTGGTAGACCTTTCTCAACCAATCCAACCATCTGACGAACCAAAGCTTCCCTAATTTCAGCGAGAGTATTTGCCCAGCCTATGTAAGTTAGAATCATTAGGAATTTTTTTTTCTATGAATCTAGAAGAGAAGACAGGAATTTACTACAGCAATTTCTATCATGTGGTAGAATAATGTCTTTCACCAACGTTTACATTTACGTGAAACCTTGTGAGCAGCAATACTTTGATCAGATCGGTCAACCCCGTTCATGTGTACAAAATTATTTCCGTGCAGAGATAGAGCAGAATATTTTCTATTCAGTTGTAGAATTTTCATGCCCCAAGTATTTGTTTTGCCCAAGTTTTTAAATTTTTAATTCACCTGTCCCCGGGGACAATTATTTCAGGGTGGGTATGATTTAAACTGACCGTCTGTGGTTTGGGTATTCGGTTTTTGTTAGTTTTCGATTTGCTGCTGGTCATTGACCACCTTTCCCATATTGCGTGCACTCCATTACCTGTCAGTCTGCTAGATAGGGCGCCAAGGCAATCAAATAAGAGTTTTAATCATAATACAAATTTGGCCAATATTTATACGCAACGACACCGGAATAAAATAACTAGAGCTTAGCGCTTGCGCAACAGATATAGCGTGGTTACTGTAATTTGCGCATTATTTGCTAAAACGCGCTCCCACCTTTGGGATGGTTAACCAACTTACGGGAAATTTCGGGAAATGGGAAATTTCGGGAAAACGTTCGGCAGTAACCAGCCATGCCGAATATAAGCGCGTTACTTGTTTTCTTTGTACAAGTTGGTGGAAAGATGGAGACGACGTCGATTTTTGCACGCACGGGTTTGACTTTCCCTAAGATATGACGTAAGTATGTTATGGTTCCACAACGGAATTTTTTCTTTGTTAGGTTTATCGCATAGTATCGCATAGCTAGTACCTTAATGCATAGTATCCAGATGTGTCTCCCGTGTATCGCTCTAAATTATAACGTCGTCAATGTAGGCTTCACAACCATGGATATCAGTGACGAGACGGTGAACCGATTAGGCGTTGGAAAGTTGCTGGAGCATTTTTATGCCATATGTCATCACCTTGTGATATAAACCCTTGGACGTGACAAAAGCTGATATCTCTCTTGCACTTTCAATTAGTGGAATCTCCCCAAACCATTTTAGCAGATGGAATTTTGATTCAGTGTCTTGGAGCTTCTTAGTCAGGACATAATTTTGATTCTATAACTTTTTCTTCAATAGAATCGTTCAATTTATCTTCCACAACTTTCGTTTGCTTCAACCAACTCGGAGTTCAGCTCTGAGCACGGTTTTTCAAGTTCAGTCACTGTCCTTACGTTTTCGACATCTTCCTCCAGATCGTTATACTACGTGTTTTCTGTAATAGTTTATTCTTCTTCCTTCCACTTTTCCCACGGCATTCACGTATTGCTAAGCAGGCAGCATCATTGATTCGTTTCTCTAAGGCAGAACTTTCGACGATTTGAACGGAAGCACTTGCTCTTTTGCGATCAAATTTACATATTTATGAGCTTGATCTTTCGTCTTAAGGTCGTTCCGGTATATTAAAATTTCCTGGGGAATTTCAAGAACGAAATAGGCTTTATAAGATGATATTTGTTTCCCATAGTTAACGTCGCTTGCTTTGCTAGAAAACTTTACTTTTGAAATGAACTTTTTGGGATTTTCTGCCATGACAACACTGCCGCGCCAAAAATCCCAAATTCCCGCGTTTCCTCGTATTTGAATAAGTAATGTCAATGTTGTGACATACCGCTGATAAACAATGAAATTTGTGGGCTCATTTCTGAGCAAGCTCGGTATTTCAGCGGCGTTTAGCTTCTGGACATGCGCCTAAGTATCTCGAAACATGTGAACTGAAAAGACAAGATGACGAGCTTCAAAACAATAGTTTTGAAAGCGAAGTCATCCAAAATCTCGCCGAATTATGGCTATTTCAAGCAAAGCAAAGCTCTTTGCGAATCTAATCGAAGCCACCGAAACCTCATCTTGCCAGAACAAGCTTTGCATGTTGGAATTTGTATTATATAATACCCTGAAATACTTTCTTTTAGTGGGGAAGTATGTGAGAATTGATGATCAATGGCGTCTAATTCGCTACAATCCGTAGATAAGTTTGAATCGCTCAAGGACAAGCTTTATCGGCTTCTAGAAATCACAATATTTTGCTTTTTGCTTTTGCTACAAGTCGATTTACTATGTTCATACTTATAACAAAATGTATTCTTTTGCACTATTTCTAGTACTATTTACTATAAATTTCCAAGCATTTTAAGAGAACAAATGCCTGTTGCGCAATATCGCATGTCGCTTATTTCTGGCAATGCTTACACCGCACTTGGGGTTTTATGTACGTTCAGCAATTGTCGAAGTGCAATGTGCAAATTATGTACATTACAACGTTGTATAAATTATTCACTTTTCCCGTTTGTAACAACTAACCATACACCAAACTCTTCTGTCTCAACTTTGAAGACATTTTCTTCCCGTGATGATCTGCTGTGCATCATAACTGATTTCTTCAGCCGCTATTACCGCTGTACGTTTGTTGCAATGTTCCTGAAAGATGACTTTTGTCCTGACAAATTATTTCGGAAAAGTGCTCAGTAATTCGGCATAAGCTGCGGTGGTGGAAAGAAAGTCGTCTTCCAAAAATGTCCTCATCATCTGAATTGGTACAGCCCGATTATTGTGTTGGTACGCTACCAAAATGCCGTTAGGAAAACACAAGAACACATATATTGGGCCGAAATCCTTAATACACTCAGCCAGATGACCATGTAAATGCATGTCCGGTGTGGCAAAATCTTTTGAATCGGCTCTCCGACTGCTTCAATTAATCTATTCAATAATATTGTTCGTCCACATAACCACCATTACTACAAAAAAACCATCCAGCAATCAATCCATTTGTGAAAGAGATGTTTCGCAGTTCCTACCTAAATCGTACACTGTCGTAATAAGGAAGACAAAGTAAATCCGTACAACGTGCTCCAAGTGTACTTTCAAGTTTCTGACGCGTACTAAAAGATGTTGCTTTAAGCGTTTCAAAAGCGTTTTTGCGATGACTGACGTCCTCGCGGTTTTGCCCAGAATTTATATCAAATCCTGAAAAATCAGGTTTTTCTCCAAATTTAGACACTGGAAACCTCTTCAAGCATTTTGAACATCCGCGCGTGTGTCATTTAGCATTGTGTGCCATGAAACCACCAAATTTCGTGCTGCTGGCACATGCATCACAAGCCATGCATATACACTGTAAGAGCAACTCGAACAAAAGTAACTGTAATTTTTTGCCAAAAGCGATGTCCTTTTTAAATGAGTAGAAGCTCGTCCACAGTGGGCTTCAGTATTGAATTCATACTATAAAAATACAGGCATGCAAAATCCCCTCGCCTGAAGCGATTACTGACATATATTTCCAACAGCGAAATTTTATAATACTCGTTTCAGCCGAATGATCGAAGTCGTATAAGTAAAATCCTATATTAAGTACAATTATAAACTCGACTCTCGAGCTATCACATTCAACTATAATCATAATTTTACTACGAATAGTTTTAAATACTACAATTTTTAGCGAAATTTCGATTCATTTTTAAACTCAGATTCACCTTCAAAAATATTCACCTTTTGGTGATAAATCTAAATATTAAATACTTGCATGCTTTAAAATACAAAATCTACCCATTTAGCTGTTCAAAAACACTCTAAAAATCTTCAAAATCGTAGATTTTTGCAATCCATTTGAATCAAAGCTTTTTCTATGCGAAGGCATATTTTACATTCTCTTTTAATCAATTTTACAAATCAATTTTTCGTATATAGTTCTGCTGAGGCGAACCAAAATTAAATATAGCCAATCGCAGGTTTGCAAGCATTTGCTATTTACCATGCGGTTTTAACCTGCCTAAACTCACGCGTATGCATAACTTACAAAAACGCCCAACGTCCATGGCATAATGGCGGACAACTTTGATTTCGCATTTTAAAAGCTCCGGGCGGAGTTTGTACCCTCGCCTGGTTTTATAATTTTATGATTTGGTTTTGGTTCAACCTTCGATTAAACCAAGCAGCAATACATTCTCCCTCTCTTGCATCTTTCTTCTCATGGCAAGTTGGCTACAACACAATAGACAGCTCCAACAGTACCTGCGGGTTGAACCAGTCAACATTAAGGATCAATGCCAAATTATTTCGCTTCTTAAAAACGGTTTACCGGTTTCATGAGCTTGAGACTCTCTTCAACATGTATATCGGTCATTTCCGTCGTTTCTTTGCCACTTTTATTTCTCCATTCGTTGCATTTGTCTAAGAAACCGTCACTATTAATGAGGTTCTTTAAAGATGAAAACAGACTCCGAAAAACATACACCCTTTTTGTGTACCAAAAGACATTGCCAGACTTCCCTCTGACCTTTTTTATAAGTACAGTAGTTCTTGTCAAGACACGGTGCACGTTTCGCCTGCTGTACATGATTTGGCCATAACACGTTTGAGCATGCTCTACTCACCACGCGATCGTTGGGCAATTTTTTAGTACATCGTTCCTAGCAATATATCGCGAGCACTTGGGGCATACAGCATAAACTTTAAAATCGTTGGAACAGAAGTTGAATCGGTAACGGTTTTCTGACCAACCGTACTTATACTTAGCCACTGCTTACTAACCACGCTTAACATATGCGCGCGTAAATGCGTAATGGTTTGCATAAGTGCACGAAAATTTGGTAATGGTTTGCATGAGTGCAGGAAATTTTCAACCAGCGGCGAATGACATGAAAATATATTTCCCTGTCGGCTTCAAAATGTTTGGGTTTAATTTAATATTAGTCATCTACACATAATTTAATACATTTCAATGAACTTAATTTCACTGGATGAAGTGGTGGTTTACCGTGCGTCCCATCAGTGTTGGTTTCGCTCAGCTCACGGTCGGTGTAAAAGAAGGGTAGCAATTTTTGTGCACATTTACGTTCTTGAATTTTTTTTTTAACGCCTCGCTATTTTTCTTGACGTTTTTGCTCCGTGTCACAAATTCGTTGTATCTCCAAATTTGTCACAACAAAGTTCAGAAGCTCCTCTGAAATTTCCACAAGTAATCTGAACCGATCAACAAATCAATTTCCAACTTCTCTTTGGTTCGACAGACGTCAGAAAACCATAAATTTCGCAGGTTGCAGGAAGTTTTTCCTAACAACTTTAACGTGCTCGTTGCTTATGCGTGAAATCTCAGGCATAACATAAGCCTCCATCGTCACAATTCCTACCACCGCGGAACGGAATCAAATCAATAAGAACTACATCGCACAATCCGGTCTAAGTTGTTTTCTGACCAACCGTAATTCTACTTAGCCACTCCTTCCTAACCACGTTTAACTTATGCGCGCGTGCTACAGCGTGCTATTTGCGCGCGTAATGGTTTGCATGAGTGCACGAAAATTTGGTAATGATTTGCAAAATGTTTGGGTTTGATTTAATATTAGTCATCAACACATAATTTGATACATTTCAATAAATTTAATTACACTGGATGAAGTGGTGGTTTACCGTGCGTCCCATCAGTGTTGGTTTCGCTGAGCTCACGGTCGATGTAAAAGAAGCTAGGGTAGCAATTTTAATGCACATTTGCGTGGTTCTTGAATTTTTTCTAACGCCTCGCTAATTTTTTTCACGTTTTTGATGTGGACAGATAACTTATCTAATAATAAAAAAATTCCATTAAAAATCATTTTGTAGATTCCATTAGCATGCAATATAACAACTAAACTGATTTTAGCAGCGCTTATCGAAACACTTAGCGCAGGTTTTGGTGCGCGAGGGTGTACATTACATGCGTACACTAGACAAGTGAGTTATACACCGATTACAACAGATTCTTAATCATGCATGAAATAAAGCGCAAATTATTAGTCTTTTTGTCAGTGAAACATTTCGCGCGACAATCGCTAACTGAAACAACGTATTATCTATGCACTTACTTTGGTTTGCAGACGCACCAACTTTAACTATCATACGCGTAGATATAGCTTTGATCAGGTAGAACATAGAGAGAATTTTTTGTCTCGCAATGCGAATAGAACTGTAGCATAAACCTTTGCTTTCTTACAAGTGTCCACATTCGAGACTCAACGTAGAATGAATAACCTAAGCTAGGTAGGCTGTTTTTGTGTAGAATGAAGTTTTGTGAGACGACACATGAAAGGGGGGTCCGGGGGGATTCTACCGCGAAAAATTTTTGAATCCAGACCCTCGGAAATGGTATTTTCGGCGATTTTGGTACGATCGGTACGAAGAGAAGAAACAAAATTTTTAAAACTTTCAATCATGCTTATGCCATAGCTAAAGTCTGTACCTGTACTCTGAAGCACTGAATACAAAATAGAAGACTGCTCTAAAATTTTGTAAAAAACACATACTAAAAAACAAAAGAGAAAACTTTTAAGATAGTGCAGTAAGCCACTAACCTTACTCAATGATTCATCATCCCAACCATCAGGTTGATCTGTTATTCCTTCAAAAAGTTCTAAAAGTTTCTCATAATTATTTTACAAAACCTTAACAACACGGGCTCGATAATACCACCTTGGTATCACCAGGGCTAGGGAGCTCAAGATTATGGGAGGTCAGAAATGCCTTTCTTCTAGGGGCATTACTTTTGAAAGTACAAAAGCCACCTATATTGATAAAAAAAAATTGACAGGGGCAATAGATGAGGCAGACTGACACAAAACAAGATTTAACCTTTGAGCTGCACAATGGACAAAATGAGCAAAAGGATACTCTTGACGAACCAAAGTTTGAACACCATTAATGTGGCCAGACATGACAGAAGCACCATCATAAGTTTGCATTATAAGTTTCTCCTTCATAGTAGAAAACTGACCAAGTTTATCTTTCACAACTTCAGATATTGCAGGAGCAGTCCTATTCATACTCACATCCACAAATCCTAATTGTCTTCCAACAATTTCACTACCCTTATCTAAACGTCCAATTATACTTACCTGCTCTTTGGTAGAAACATCACAGGTCTCATCAACCTGCACAGCGATAAAAGTACAATCATCTATCTCCTTAATAATTACATCATCAATAACAGAATCAATACAATTGATTTCAAAATCGGCGGAACACGGGACAGAATCGCGCGAGTAAATTAGCTAATCGTCAATTTCCGTTGTTTCTTAAGCCAAGTAGACTGCTGCAAAATTGCGTAAAATGCATTAAATAAACAATTAAAGCACTTTTTATTTAATTAGTTAGTCTAATTTTTAGGACATTTTTCGTCCCGCCGGGCGGGATAGCGGGACCGCTAGCTACGCCACTTTACGCTGTGTGTTTTTGTGACGGACATAGCGTGGTTAGGCAAGGCAACCGCATTGCGCATTTGCTAACCAAATTTACGCATTTGATGTAAATCTTTGCGCTGAGACGGAAAATAACAACTTGTTCTTGCCAGAAGGTCTTTTACAAAATAACAACTTGAACTACTTGAACTACTAACAACTTGAGCCACTCCTTCCTAACCACGCTTAACTTATGCGCGCGTGCTATATTTCCCTGTCGGCTTCAAAATGTTTGGGTTTGATTAATATTAGTCATCTACACATAATTTGATACATTTCAATGAATTTAATTACACTGGATGAAGTGGTGGTTTACCGTGCGTCCCATCAGTGTTGGATTCGCTGAGCTCACCGTCGGTGTAAAAGAAGCTAGGGTAGCAATTTTAATGCACATTAACGCGGTTCTTGAATTTTTTCTAACGCCTCGCTAATTTTCTTCACGTTTTTGCTCGGTGTCACAAATTTGTTGTATCTCCAAATTTGTTGTATCAACAAAGTGCATTGCTCTGTTGATCTTGTATTTCCACGATTTTTCTCACTAAGGTCGCGGTCAAACTAGCGCTTGAGCTTGACGATTACCACCGGATTAGCGTACTTGCGTGAACACCTTGCTAATCTCGTGTTGGAATGTAATAATGTATTTTCAGTACGTCCGGACCATAACACTAGCAATAATGCATGGCTATTGCTAGAATTGTTAGTCAAATAAATCAACGCCAATTTTGGGAGATTTAAAGACTACTACTGGGTTGGTTTGAGGTGATATTTTTGGACGAACGTCAATCCCTTGGATCAAGCTGATTACGATAACTTTGTCGCATGATATAACTTTTTCTAAAATTATTACAATATAATCCATGTTCAAAATATATCGATCTTTATTAATTAAAAAAAATGTTTATGTTCTTTTAACAGTTTATCAGGTACCATCTACCTTTTCATTATTTCTGCCATTCTTAAGAGAAACTCCTCATCTCTTCTTCGTCACTCTTCATCTAGCTTTCTTTGATCAGCTTTATCAAAAGATCCTCGCTTCGTTTTTGGGCCTTCTCCATTATTTTCATCTGCGAGTTTTGCATTTCAACCAGCTTTTCGGTCAGGTCGATCATCGCACTCGCAGTTGTAATCCAACCTTTCTTTGCTTTATTTTCTTTTAAACGATGTCTTTATGGATTGAAATTTTACAAATATAGAACTAAGGCGCCATTGACTCATTCTATTTCTCCAATAGATCTTTACCCTCTTCAAACAGGAAAATGATCTTTCAACATAAGGCATCGTTAATTTTCATTAATTTTAATAGCTTTTCGAATACTAGGTTGAAGAGTAATTTTAGGTTGAAGAATAATTTTTTCCCTAAAATTTTTTTTAAATGAATTCGGGGGAAATGAAGAATGTCACATAATAGATCAGGTCTTAAGCTTTTCAAAAATATATAAATCTTTTTTTATGAAAATCTTCTGCTTTGTAAATAAACGAAAGTTGAAAGCATGGGGATGTCATAAAGGGACCCACATCTCTTGGAGTAAAGGGTACCTTCTCAAAGGGTACCACCCCACTCTAAGAAATTGCATACTCAAATCTCACATTCATTATACCAACGATTGAATCTATAATCTCAAAAAAATTGCTTTTGGTTATGTCTTGTTTAAATTCTGCTCATTGCATGGCGGGCTCAATTTGTCTACTGCTTCTTGGTATAGTTCAGAAAATTTATCATCACTGCGAAGAGAAGAAACAATGGTTATAAAACGCTCAACCCTCATCATACCATAGTAAAAGGTTTTTAAAAATGATCTGTTTTGCCTTTACTCCTCATTGTTGCGTAGCATCTCGTCTCGTCTCGTCTTGCATCTCTGGAAGATCGAGAGGAAAGTGTAAACAGGCATGGCTGACCTCAGTAAAGTTGGACTACTTAAAAATAATCTGAAATATGTTAAAAAATAATAAATTAATGAAATAAAAATTTTAAAAATTTAAAATAAAATAGGTCACATAACAAATAAAATAATACAAACTAAAGACAAAGTTGTACCATTAACCAAATCAAAACAAAATATATACAATCATTATGATCACTATAATGTAATCGTTCATTCCAATATAGAGTCAAACTTCGCAAAGGACTCGAGTAACTCTCTATAATTACCTTTATTTAAACTATCTTCTTTCTCATCGTGACCTCTGAATGCCAACTCCTTTGTCGACAAATACAATACTGCTTCGGTAACAGTTTTAAGACTTTCTCGATTTTGTCTTAACTCTTCGTTATGCCTTTGAATTTCACCCCTTCTTGCTTGCGAAAGAAGAGAATCCACTCCCACATTCATCCCATACATTTTCCACATCTTGTAAGCAGCCAAGTGTGACTTGGACTTCTCATGCTTTTTGCCATCTGACATCAAACTTCTCATGACGGTATAGCCAGTCTTCGTCGATGTGGGTGACGTTCCCGGGCAGAACAAAAGATATGGCCAACAGAACAAGGCTTTTCACGGGCCGACTTCGAAAGTGGCACGATGGACGAGCCCTCGATGATGAAGCTGGTCGTGTCCGAAAGGGGTTCGTCAAGGTTCTCCGGGAGAAGATCGCCCATTTCGATAAATTTGTTTTCGAGAATTTTTGTGACCAGCTTTGGTGGAATTGGCTTTCGGCCGGGGCCCAAGCTGAAGGCTTTCTCAGGACCGAGGTGGGGAGTTTTCTTTAAAAAAAATTGCTCAAGTGCAAATACTCCTCTATGATTACTAAATCTAAAAAAGTTTTTGGATTTAATGTCATTGTAGTTCTCCTGGCTTTGCGGTGCAAAATATTCAATGTTCTTGTATATAAGGTTAGAAACTCAGGTACATGTGCATACAATGCATGCATACATGGAGTGACTGACATCTTTCGTCCGATATACAAACAGGATTTTTTCAAACCAAGAGTAACCTTTTTAGTTCAACGTTTCTGAAAAAACTCACGACAGTGGCAAGCAGTCCTTATTGCTCCGCCCATATACAAGTACAACCTGTTCCAGGTGTTGTACCCTACTTTTCTTTAAAAAATTGCTCAAGTGCAGATACTCCTATACATGATTATTAAATCTAAGAAATAACATTCCATTCGGGGGCGAACGGCAACCACGATCGTATTTTTTTCTCCTTGCGGTTGTCTGCGGTTTCTATCGGTAAATATATCGTTTCTATAATCATATTATTGATAACGGTTAAAAATGAAATTAAATTTATTATAAAAAATGTACATACTACATATATAACAAATTATAGTTTATTAGAAATAAAACAGTGGATAACACTTTTCTCTGCAAACCAAGTTGGCGACGTGCTCTCAGAACATTGGATATTCTTCCGCGGTTGATGCTGATGAAAGATAGCCTTCTTCCAAAAAATTTTTTATCATTTGAACTGGAACTGCCTTGTTATTTTGCTGGTATCCACCAAGAATTCCATTGTACCTTTGAAAGAAAACACCAAAAAGCATGGAAGACTGGGCCGTAATGCTCAATACATTCTGCAAGGTGACCGTGTAGATGCATGTTTGAGGTTACAAACTCCTCCTCCTTGAAGACTTTCAACCTTTTTAGAAAATGCAATTAAACTCTCACCCGCTTGTTTCAACTCACTGTGATTTATCTTTCTTCCGCACATCAGTCGACAAGCTGAAACAAAAAGCATCCAACACTCATAATGCGCTTTCGATAGAACAGTTGACAAGATGTAAGGCGAATATACTAGTAACTAATTCTTCCATTGATCAGCAGTCATTCCAGTGGAGCTGAATTCTATTTTATTAGGAATTCGTCTAATTTCGACAATGTGAACTTTGATATTTTTCGGATCATCCAGCTTTAACAGTCCTTAGGACATATCGATTACGACAAATAGGAGTGAGTACATATGAACTTTGATTCATTGTGAATTGTAACTTAAATATAATACTTGAACATATACATTTTCTGCCATAACTGAACAGATTTTAGCGGAATTAACATCTTTCGCAATTAGTGATTTGCCAATCATCGGCCAATAAGGTAACAAACTCATTTTGGCAGGGCTTCATATAGTTTGGCAGGGCTTCATACTTCATAGGCGACTTACTGGGCTTCATATAGTTTCACCGGACTGCCAAGAGTAGCTATTCTGTCAGGCAACACGTTTTGCATTTCCGATCATGTTTTCTTCCGATCCATCATTTCCGCTTAAAGTTTTGGCGATGTCGTATTTCCAAAATCGTATTCTCTTCGCGGTTTCGGATGTTTTGTTAATTTCCTGTTTGTGATAGTCAATGGTTACAGTAAGTAGTTCTTTTGTGGCATTCATTAAGATGTTCTCCCATCTTTGCCGTAAGTCTTTGTTTAGGTAGTGTTTGCTTTTGTGTGTGATTTCTAGTCCAGGGGGTAGTGTCTGTGCTTGTTTGTGTTCTTCCAGTTCATCAAGTGTGCATTTGAGTTTCGATAATTTGGTTTTCTTTGTGCTAATGATGCGGAATGTTTCCAGGGGGTGTGGTGGTATGCTGTTGGGGTTGGGAATGGATTGTGTGGTTGTCATTGTGTGGTGTGGTGTTGGTTGTGATTTCGGGGTTAGTTGTGATTTGGGGTGTGTTGTTTGTCTCTGGGTTTTCGTCTTCTGTGTTTAAAAGTTTTTGTTTTTCCTTATGTAGGCCTTCTATTATTGAATCAGTTTCCTGATCGGATATGATCAATTTGTTGCCAAAAATAAGGGAGGGGTCCAAGTCTGTTATGTCTCCGTCGTCAGTCCGTAAAAATACATCTATCTGTTCGTCAGACATGTCAGGTGAGGGTGGGGGGTTTGGTTGGATTGGGCATGGGTTGGTGTCAAGGATGGGGATTGTGTTGTCAGGGTTATCAATCGACATATTCTGGGGGTCGGTTGGGTTTTCGGTAGGGTTTTCGGTCGGGTTGCTTTGATTTGTGGAGTTAAATGGGACTTCTTAAAAATTAAGGTTATCCTTTGTGAGTAATAGTTCCATTTAAGTAGTGATCGTTGTGTTTGTTAGTAAGTGTGTTAGGGGTGTGTGAATAAACAAGGGGGACTGTTTTCTGGTTCATTGTATGAGATTGATTCAATTGTTACAACTAGAACTAAACAATATGCCGAGCTTGGTGGCGCTCTCTCCGTTCCCTATAGGGGGATCACAATGTCTATTTTATATTTTGACATAGGTAATTGGAACCATATTGTAGTTCTTATATAGTTATAGGTTAATTTGTAACAATTGTCTGAATTTAAACCAACTGGAGAAAAAGGTTAGGACGTTATGTATATGTGGGCAAAAGGGAAACATAATAAGTAATTTGTTGAATAGTTAATTGTGAATTAATGGGCGTAAAAATAGAAATAAAAAAAACTACTAAAGTTATTGATGGAGCTGGATTCATTCCAGATATCCTGTATGATGTATCTGTAATCATTATTTAGGCAATAAATAGGAAATGTTGATTAAACAGTTTGACTTTTTCTGGAAGTCTCTGTAATCCAGCATTTTTTAATCCTTTGCAATATAAAACTTAAAATTGATCCCAATGTCTTGCAAGTAATTTTCATATCTAGTCATGTGTGGATATTTTTCTCTGGCAAAATTATTTGTGCATGCCTTCTTTTGGTCAATTCTAAATTTTCTTTCTTTAACCCACCAACATGTTTCCTCATATTGATTATTTACTACGTTACTGCGTTTTACCTGACGAAACTGCTGACTTTAAACTTTGGAGGGTGAGTGTAGCTTCACTGGGACAGAAATTTAATGTCAACGAGTTACCAAAAAATCTACAGGGGTAGACGCGGTGCGTAGAATGAAACGAACTCGACGTAGGAAATTTGATAATTTATTAACACGATATATACAGGTTTGGGTCGAATAAGTCGACTGAGAATATTGCGTCGGTTGGAACTAAAATATGATAAACTATAGTAACCTATCACATGAAATTAATACGGGTATACTTGATAATTAACATAAACGAGATATACTTATTAAACTAAGAATTAGCATGCAATATAACAACTAAACCGATTTTAGCAGCGCTTGTCGAAACACTTAGCGCAGGTTTTGGTGCGCGAGGCTGCATTACATGCGTACACTAGACAAATTAGTTATATACCGATTACAACAGACTCTTAATCATGCATGAAATAAAGCGCAAATTATTAGTCTTTTTGTCACTGAAACGCACTTAGCGCAACAATTGCTAACTGAAACAACGTATTATCTATTTACATACTTTGGTTTGCATAACCTAAGCTAGGTAGGCTGTTTTTGTGTAGAATGAACCGGATTTCAAAAACATAGAAACGCGGTGTGTTTTTTTGACGGACATAGCGTGGCTAGGCAAGGCAACCGCATTGCGCATTTGCTAACCAAATCTACGCATTTGATGTAAATCTTTGCGCTGAAACGGAAAATAACAACTTGTTTTTGCCAAAAGGTCTTTTACAAAGTAACAACTTGAACGACCTTCCGTTTCGAAACCAACTGTGAGACACCGCACCCACCCACTCCCCCCCCCCCACACTTACAGGGTTTACAATATGCATGTAGTTTCGTTACATGCAAAAGCCTCAGCAAAAACTTCACTGTCCCGACTGCAGACGCTAAAGTACACATCCCGCTAAATAAAGGTGAATTTGGCGGACCACTAATTTTCCGGCTGTGTTACAATCAATAATTGCTAAATTTGTCGAAACGGCGTGGTTTTTTTCCCTGTTTTTTCGCTGCAATCTTCGCTGATGTCCGTTTATCATTTTTGTACTTTTATATACGAGCTTGCATTACCAGCTTTGTGACTAGAAAACTTAATTTTTTCAATAAAAATGCTGCATGCTATGTTGAGAGATTAACTTACCGAATGCTTTTGCCCGTTTGTTGATCAATTTGTCATTGTTTCAGTTGTTTTGGAACATAATATTTAGGTACAGCCTTTTTAAGCAATATTCAAAAATATTTTGACCTCGATATTTCAAAATTAGCAATGTTATAATTATCGCGTCAATTAAGTAAAATGTACATCTTTTATAGCTATATTTATGCGCATAATATATACGTATCACTTCTTTTATTTTCATGTTAATTTTCTTTGATCGATATTCACCAATTGTGTCATACAGTTTGTAAAATGTATGTTTTGTAGTGTGTGTTTTGCTTAATTTTTTATATTTTCCTGCTCACCATTACCTTTGTAATGACAATTGCCATTATGTAACTATTGGTTGAGTTGTGATTATCATTTTCAAATGTGTTTGAGCCGTCAAGAATTTCACAGAAGAAGCTCAATCAATGTTCACATTCACTGATGTATGAAAGAATCAATCTATCATCTGGATCGTGCAGAAGACGATGAATATATTCCCTTTGACTTTAATCGTAATTATTATGTCTTAAGTCACGCATTTTATATAATGACCGTAGCAATACAAATTCATCCGAAGAACTCTCGTTTGAATTAAAAAACCTGTTCCAAAATTAGGAAAAGGTGTCGCTGTTATTTACAAGCGTCAGAAATATAAAGACAGTCACAGAACTGTTCATAAAAGATGGTTGAAAGGAAATATGTAGTAAAAGTAGCTACCTTTTGTTAATTTCATTGAGCATTGAAATAATATATTACATGGAATGGATCATTTCAGAAATGTATTAAAACCTACATGAACGAATTCATTATGCAGTGTGATGTCTTAGTTGAGTTTTATGTTTTGAGTTTTTTATTTAATCATTAGTTTCCTTTACAGTGCAACCATAAATATCAGGATGAAATTTCGTTGCATTGGCGCTGTAACCCGCTATAGAAGACTGAGAGAGTGGGAGAAATAAAATCAGAGGGCTGTTCATGTCCATCTAGGGAAAAAAATTACCATACCTGGCTGGCTTTTCCCGATTGTGCTCGGCAACTTTTAAGCAACTTTTTAAAATTTGAATAACTGTTCTGTTTTCCAGCTACCTGGAGCAACTTTTGCTTTTTTGGGTAACAGGAAGCAACTTTTAGGCTTATACATGATCCATACTACTAATTGCGCACTAATTATTAAATAAAATCTCGACTATTAAACTAATTATTTATTCACTAGCACAATTGGGATTGGTCTAATACCTGGTGTCATGGTTAATAATGTCCAGCTATAAGAGGACTTGCTCCTAATGTTTTAAGCACAAAAAGTGGGGTAAAAAATATGGCGGATTTTGGTCTATGACGTCATATTGACGTCACTTGGTCCCCTTTGCCCATGGTAATTACAACTGGCCAGGCTCAATTCTGAGCCCAGTACGCGAAAAAAATTGATCAGCTTGTCGCATCAGGGGTGAACAATGTTTTGCTGCACCCTGGGAACAGTGTTGTTATCAATGTTGTTGAACCTTGTTGAATCATCAATGTTGATGAAATGTTGTTGTAACAAGTAGCAACAACGTTGTTAACAATACTCTTCACAGGGTGCAGCAAAACATTGCTCACTCCTGTTTTTAACAACTTTCATCAAGATTGTGATTTTTACGCGTGTACGCATTCACTCAACAGCATCCCCCCTTGGTTTTATGAATATTTTGTTTTTTCAGACTGCCGTGAAACCTTGTTTTGTTTTTTCAACATATTTTTTACCTAACCTGTATATAGGTGCTGTCTTTGCCAATGCCGAAACAAACGAATATTCGAACATCAAAAAAATGTGGAATAGTTTATTCAAAATAACACACTTTAGACAAAGGGGTAGTTCATGACTTTAAATTTTCCCAGCAAGACTCCAGTTGGAATAATTATACGTTTCTCCATCGCATTATTATTCTTGAATTTCCTTTCAGATATTTTATTGAATATATAACTCTTGAATATATATATATATCTATATGTATAAAACGTTGGCCGCAGATAGATAGATAGATAGATACTCGAAATCTAATTAGAATTGCATATGTTGTGTAATATGATTGAAATCCCATGCAAATGCAATCATATGCAATTCTAATTAGACTTCGAGTAACTATCTATCTATCTATCTGCGGCCAACGTTTTTGCAAATGGGTGTATATATATATATATATATTATATTATATATAATATATTATATATCTCATTTCAAAAACCGAAATCTGTTCTTTGTTTTCTCTGTTAAATTTAACTTTTTCTTACTCTTTCTTACTTAAGTTTAATATTTTCTGAGAAAATTACTTTTTTCAGAAAAATTCTATCTGAAACGGACTGGCTTACCATTAATTTCGCATCTTTACAATGATCAGAACACGTGCAATAAAACAAATAACCAGGGTTTGTACAATTTCTGCCATTGAAGCATGTACGGCAACGGTCTAATACTGGAGGGTTCCAGACCGGCGAAGAACCAATCAGCGCACGCCATTTAGTCACAAGACCGCGTGCCATATAATAAAAGTTTGAAAGACCTTCCTACTGATGACAATGGGACTTATCGTCATTACGGATGCGCACTCGGGTATTTAAAGTGGAAAGCGATACAGATAGAAGAATCAAAAAGACTTTGATTGCAAAGCGTGCCCTGAGACCTGATGAGTTGAAAACAAGAAGAAATTGTGTAACAATCAATTGCAAGAGAACATATCGTGGGAACAAATTCCACGAAGATTTTACGCAGATCATCACATATGCAGAACAAAACGGCAGTATTGGAAATAACTTAGCAATACTGCACTATCGATCAATTCAAAGGTGCAGAGTGTTCATTTCTTGTTACAGCACATGGTAACAAGAAAGACAACAATTTTCCTTTCCTTTCCGTAAATTCTACTACACGGAAAAAAATAAAAGAAGTGGTCAAACACCAAAAACCAAAGAAAGCTTTGCTGCAGCTTGACCGACAATCGAACATGATGAATGCAACTAGCAGCGCAGCTATTCCTCGTGATGTGAAAACAATTGCTAACATGCGCAGCTCTTTAAAATCTAAGGAGAGGCAAGATCAAGGAATTCCTGTGCACGAAAGTAAAAGCGATAGGTTGTACAGTGTGTTGATCATGGCTGTAGAAGAACAAAGTAACGAGGAAGAAAAATATATCCACGGTGTTACAGCATGGCCAGAAGCAATGTGTATTGTTGGTTATCCATATCAATTTTATGATATATCGCGTTTTCGTTCTAATTCTCTCGAATTCTATCCAGTTGCATTAGCAGTGATACAACTTTCAAACTCGGCGAATTTATGTGACCTCTACTCCGTACAAGAGTCTTATTCTTCAGAAAGCCGATGATACTGAATCCCCAACATTGGTTGGGCCTACATCCACATGAGCAGAAGCCATACCGTGCAGTGGCGGATCTATAGGGGTGTGTAGAATAAATCACCACAGCTTAAAATCGAAATCACATTGGCCGATTTTTATGTAAAATATTATTTTCAAATCTGTAACCAATAGCGTTGTTATTAAGGTGTTTTAAACTTAAAATTAAGCTGTGTAATTTATTCTGCACACCCCTAGATCGTGACTGCTACAGTGCATTTTGCCACTTAGCTGCAAAGTTAAAGGAGATCGATAACGGAATTTGCGATCTTAAGTGCGTTGTTACCGATCGGGAACCAGTTCTGATTAAAGCATTTCAAGTATTTTATCCTCAAATGCCCCTGTTGCGTTGCTGTCGCCATGTTCGCGAAAACTGTGTTGGAGAAACTTAAGTCTCTTGGTATTAAAGGCGATGATCAATGCTACTTCACTGGATGCAATTTTGATCATCTGTTGAAGAAATCTATCACGAAGGTTTATTAGATGGACCCGACGCTGAAACCTTCGACGCCCTACTCGTGTCTTTTGAAAAGGAGATGAACGAAAGAGAGCAGGCTATCAGACCTCTTGGAAGCTCACCTCAGTTTTACTCCTGGATAAAAAGCATGTTATGATGAAGAGTTCGCTTACAGAAGAAGCGAGACAAAATGCTGGACTTAAATCTTGTGAAGAATTACGATTAATCCCTCTGAGAATGCAAATTATAAACTGTAAACTTCATGCGCGTCTTTTTTTGTTATACTAAAGTCTATACGATTTCAGTACGTCTTTTAAAATCGTTTTGATCTTTGAGAAAAATCATGCCTGTGAATCTTAGAAAGCGTCACAGAGAACTTGCGTCAAATATTTATGTTTGTACGTTTTTGGCGAAATTCACCAAATAAATAAATGAATAAAAGAATCAACCAAGTGCCTTAAAATATGAAATGAAACTCGACGTTTTGGTTTCGTATTTGTCAGTAGATTAGGTGCGCCATGCTTAGAATGAAATTAAGTCAAGTCATATAATATTTTGCGCAGTTGCTCCGTGATCATATGAGGGGAGTGTACTATCAAATAAGTGAAATAACCCATATTATTCAAGATTTAATATCGCTTTGTCATGTGTTACAAACAAAGATCGCCATATTAAGACACAGTATTCAATCTTTAGTGAAAAGTCAATTTTAAAGAGAATACTGATACATATACACTTAAAATTAAATTTTGAATTAAATAAGGAACACTTTATTATGAATGCTTAGACGAAGCAAAAAATAAAATTGAAAACATTGGCGCAAAACGAACTTCCTACATGTTTTTTTTAGAAATTTAGTTGTCTTGTGATGTCCAGCTTATGATAAATCTTACACTTTCTTAGAAACGACGACTTTCGATGACTTTCTTAGAGACGAAGCAAAAAATAAAATTGAAAACATTGGCGCAAAACGGACTTCCTGCATGTTTTTTTTAGAAATTTAGTTGTCTTGTGATGTCCAGCTTATGATAAATCTTACACTTTCTTAGAAACGCTTTGACAATTGAACTGTCGGTTATATAAATTTAACTTGGATTGCGCGTCATTGTTTGCGCTTGTTTTAACCAGAAGATGGCGTTGATCTGGTTAGCAGGATTGTATGCAATCTTAGTATATTCATCTGGTAAGAATATTTTTTTTCTTTAAATTTCACTTCGAAATGTTAAGTAATCGACCTTGTCATTTAAACTTCAAGCTGATGATTGGAGATTTCATACTATTTGACAGAGGACTGTAAGATTCGGGACTGAATTCGCTCGTCAATTTGCCGACTAAATTTTAAAAATAAGCGTGCAAAAATTTAGCATGCATTTTAAATGGTTACAAGAGCGAGACGAACGACAATGGGAAAAGTATTAGGTGAATAAAAGCAAGACTTCACATAATTATATACGTGAACTATGCATGTGTTAGGATGCATGAACTATACAATGCTTTTCTGACCACAATACTACAATAAAAATGATAGTTTTGCACTTGAACTATGGAACGAATGCTGTAGACATCAAAGACAAATAAACCATGGAGCGACACTTGTGGCTCAGGAATAGAAAGTGGCTATTTTAGGAAGGCAAGAAGCAAAAGTGTTGACATGGTGACTTCTGTAAAAAAAACTATTACGTGATAGAATTGTGTAACTTCCTATATATTTGTGTAACTATATTTTGCAGCAGCTTCATTCCCCAAATGGTGTGCGCGTGCCTCACTTTGCTTAGTTCAAATACTGCAGGTGCTAACCGTATCATCAACCTGTATAGGTATTACCAAATAATTATATACCATTAATTTTGTTTAATCCTTTCATTTTATTTCAGTGTGTTGCGAATCATCTCAACAATCAATCTATGTATCGCGTTTTAATGGGAATGATACGACAAATTGCGGTACTCCAATA